ACAGCAAACCCGAGGCAGACGGGGCTGGGTCAGCAAGGCCATTTCACAGACCGGGAGACTGAGGCGGAGACGGCCGAGAGCACCCCCAGACCGCGCGGCCAGCCTGTGCTGGAGCTGGGTGTGCACCTGAGGACTTTGGACTCCCTGCCCCGTGTTCTTCTGCCCGCAGAGGGACAGGGCAGGACACGGAACGCTGTGGGGAAGAGCAGACGAGCCCCCCCAAACCCCGGGAGGGTCACGGCCCCCACCTCCCCTGCAGCCCTCGCAGGAAGCGCTCGGTGGCTGCTCGCTGGCGGATCCCGGCACTGGGTCTCAGGGAACCTAACGCGGGCTCCCCGTCTGGGTCGCGGTGTGGACAAGGCAGGAGGAGCTGGAGAACGAGTGACCCTTCGTCTTCTTTTTCCTCTAAAAAAGAAAGAGGGACCTCACTGACCTTGAAGGACTGTCAAGAGGACTAATGAGAGACCCTGGGCAACAGCATGACGCGAATGTTAGATAATTAGGGTTTCCAGACAGATAAGAGCAGAGCGCCACCGAGACCAAAATAACACGAAGGAGTCACTCCTGCGTGACAGATAAGACCTGGACTCGGGAGCCTGGGCTGCCTGGCTCCCTCCAGCCCTGCTCCACCGCGGCGAGTGGTCTCGGAGCCTCCGCCTCGTCTGCCCAGTGGGGCTGCAAACCGTCATTCCCGCCTCGACGAGTTGTTAAGGAGATTCAATAAGAGAAGACACCGACGGGGCCAAGCACGGAGCCGGCGCACAGCAGCGCTGGCTACGTCGGTCGTGGTAGCTGCTGTCGCTACTGCCACCGCTACCGGCGAGCCAGCGTCTCAGCCTCTGCCACGGGCTTGGGAGCTGCTGCCGGCCGGAAGCTGGCTGCAGACGAGGTCTGAATCAGAAACGCTGCCCCTTCCTCGGGGGCCTCCGCAGCGGGAGGGAGAAGCAGCACGAGGGCACCCGTGGAAGCCATCAGCGTGCTTGCGAAGGAGCAGACGGGCCAGGGGAAGTAAACAAGGCGGGAGGGCGCCCTGTTGCTGGCGATGAGGGAGAGAGGACAATGAGCCCGTGCCTCTGGGCCATTAAATGCGATAAAAAGAGCTGGCTTCTGTGCAGGCTCCTGGGAGCTGACTCAGAGCCGGCACTTCATCAGCCCCGGCCGAGGTCGAGGGTCCAGCTTCAGGCGGCAGCCCAGCTCCACTGGGGTTACTCGCACCTTCCGCCGCCTGAAGCCCACCACCCCTGTTCCCCTCAGGCCCCTCCTCCCTCCCAGCCACCCCTAGGCCCACGCAGGGCTCACCCAAGAGCCAGACTCCAGGCCCTGGCAGGCGTACCTCAGTGGACTGAGCGCGGGCTGCGAACCAAAGTGTCACAGGTTCGATTCCCAGCCAGGGTACATGCCTGGGTTGCAGGCCATGGCCCCCAGCAACCGCACATTGATGTTTCTTTCTCTCTCTCTCTCTCTCTCTCTCTCTCTCTCTCTCTCCCTCCCTTCCCTCTCTAAAAATAAATATATAAAATCTTAAAAAAAAAAAAAGAGCCAGACTCCCTGAGTTCTGGTTCTCTAGCTCTGCATCTTACACAACGCCACTTACCTCTTAGTGCCACAGTTTCTTCATCTGTAAAGTGGGGATAATTATAGTGCCTACGTATAGGGCTGTTATAAAGATTAAATAAGCCAATCTAGGAAAAAGCACTCACATAGGGCCTGACCACACGGTCATTGCTGGATCAGTGTTTTGAAATTATGAAGAATTTACAAACCCCTCTAGTTCCTCTCATCCGGCTCCCCTGTCCCGAGGCCCCCCAGACCCTGGGCCTCTCCCACAGGTCGCTATCAAACATCACAAACCGCAGGGCTCGTTTTCAGAAAGGAACACTCAGGCCCAGAGAACCCAGGGGAGCTCCGTGGCAGAGCCAGACTTGAACCTGAACTCACACACACGCCGCCTGTATTGTGGCCGCATCAGATCACCCACGCGTTCCTCCCTCACACGGCCCTGCCTTTGTCTGTCTCAGCGTGTCCCCGTAGGAGGCCCTTTCTATGGCCTTTCTCAAGCCGTCTTTCAAATATTCAAATGGCACTTCTCCTAGGAAGAACTTCCAACCCCAGACAAAACACACCTTCCTCCCTCCCAGTGGGGCATAATTCACTTTGACAACACAATGGCTGGAACGTGTCCTCTGGCCCCTCCACCACCGCAGCCTGGGGCGCAGGGGGTGAGGCGGACCCAGTTGCCGTGCTTGAGCAGCTCCGGTTAATCATCCGTATCTTCCTCCTGCGCAAGCTACAAGCTCCTCCAAGGCACCCAGCCAGGCACTCCATAGGCAGAGGGGCACTGAACTCAGATCTCCACGCTCAGGGCCCCGTCCTCCTTCCACAGCCATTCTGCCTTCTCCAGTCTCCCTTCCAGAAATCTCTGTGAGTGCCTTTACTGGGCCAGCCCCACCAGGCCCTGGGACAGAGGGTTATTTTAGTCAAGCTCCTGGCCTCGGAAAGCCTTCTGACCTTTGAGCTTCAGCCCCCACCCCTATTGCATTTGCCAGTTCAGACTGTCCTGGTCTCTGTTCTTGTCTACATATCTAAGATGGAGGTGGTCCAATTAGATGATGTCACCAGCTGGAGGTGACACCAATTCCAAGGTGGCACACTCAACCATCACACAGAGGTCTGGGTTCAAATCCAGCTGGGTGACCTTGGGCCAGCCACACAAATCCTGTGTTTCTCAGTTTCTCCCACTGTGGAATGAAGACTAACAACACCCCGCCCTCAGGGAGCCGCTGCAGGCATCAGAATTGCCTGTCAACCTCCTGGCAATTGTGGCAAACGGGGGAATGAATTCCTCTTCTCCTGGGGCCAAGCCTCCCCATTCTTACACGCTCCAGGTCCACTGCCTGGAGGGTGCCTTCTCTAGCTTCCCCAGGTTCTCCCAAGAGCTCTCTCCTCTCCCACTGCATGGTCCCCCGTGTCCAGCATTTCCCTGTCCTCTCTTGGACTCGCTGGGCTTCCTTCCGTTCTCCTTCCAGGAAGATTCCAAGGGACAAACCCCACCCCCAGCCTGCCCCGGAGCACCTCACCAGGCTCACAAGAGACGCTTGAAAAGTTATTCGCCAAGAAGGTAGCCCAGGACTCTGGGAAAGGGTGAGGATTCCGAGTCAGAAAACCAGGCGGGAATCCCACCTCTGCTGTGTGACTTTCCAGCAAGACGTTCTATTCTCGGAGCCTCAGGTTTCTCCTCCGGAACGTGAGGACTGAAAAATGTCTCCCCGGCATGGTTGCTGGGGATGACAGAGGAGCCAGCACGTGTAACAGCCCCTTTGTGGGGAACTCAGAAGTGCTACTGAGGGGAACAGTATTTTCAGGCTCCCACAGCCACACCTGCTGATGCCCCAGCTTCCCTGTACCTGAGGCCCTACAGACTAGCTCCCCCTCCGGGCTCCCCTGCTGCCCAAACCCACATTCCTAAACAAAAAGCCAGCAGCCTAAAACGCACAGCATCCATGGAACACAGACCCCACCCCCACTCAGGGACCACAAAGTCGCCCTCCTGTGTCCTCAGACCTGGTCCCACCCGGACACAGAGTAAGGCACACAGCACCTGCACCCTGCTCCAGCCGCGCTCCGGGCCGGTATCATTTCTACGGGAAGTGAAAATGGAGAGAGACACCTGGGGATGTGGTTGCATGTGGGGCGCCAGGTGGGGGAGTCTTCGGGGTGAAACCGAAGATTCTGATGTAAGTTTGCTTCCAGCGATTGCTCAATGCACTGTAATTATCACATTCGTGTGAACACGCAACAAACTGTATTCTGCTATGTTCATGAGACTTGTCGGATTACAGGAACTGAGAAAAATGGTAAGAAGTTGGGGTTCCCAGTCTGGTACCTGGTAAGCAAAGTCCCAGTGAGCAACCCCAGGGGAGTGAAATCCCTGAGGAAGCTGCAGTGGGGCTCCGGGCCCCCACTCGCAGCCCAGCCCCCTCCTGCACCCCCTCCCGGGCCCAAACCCTGCTCCTGCCCTCTGGTGCCATGTTGTCACCACAGCCGTCGGGATCTGCCAGTGGGTCGTCCCTACGTGATCCCCCCGCCCCCCGCGCTGGGAAAACTGCTTTGTCTCTGTGAAAGACCCCCACACCAGGCGCCTTATAAACACCAAGCCAGGCAGATTTTACGGGGAATTGGTAAAAGGAGGGAGCAGGCCCGGAGGAGTCTCTGAGGCCTCGGAGGAAGGGAGTGGGGTCCGAGGCTGGGGTCGGCAGCTCCCAGGCACCCATCTCCCGGGGCGCCCCTCAGACGCTGGAGCCGCACCCCGCAGCCCCCTCGGCCCCGCGCTCCCCACCCAGCGACAGGCCCCTCGGGCCTCGGGGCCCAGGGACGGATCCCGCGACCGGAAATGCCCCCAGCCCAGACCGCGCCCCCTTTCCTGCCCCCCCCGACTCCGGGCCGGGCCGCAGGCCCAGAATCCCCGGGCTCGCGTAGTCGCCGCAGCCGGCAGGGGTGGCCTGTCGGCGGCCGCGGTCCCTGGCCCTCGCTGTGGTCCCTCTAAGGGACCAGCGCTGCGGGGGCCAGGGAGCACACAAAAGACACTTGTGTGCCTTTTTCGCGGGGGACAGCAAAGCATCCGCGCACCCCAAAGCTCCGATCGCCGAGGCGAGGGCACCCCCGGAAGAAAATTCCCAGGCACCCCCTCCCCCTCGCCAGTTGCAGGGGCGGCCGAATCACCAGGCGGCAGGTGCCCCCGGCTGCACAATAATTTTGAAACTTTGGGGCAGGGAACAGGGACCGAGAGGTGCCCCCCAAAAGAGGAAATGGGAATGGGGGGCACTGCATTAGTTCTGCTAAATGCACTTTTCAGGTGGCCCCGCGCAGCTCCGGCCGGGCCCAGGATCCCCCACCCGCTCCGGTCCGCGCCGCTCGGGTCCCCGCGCCCTACCGCCGGCCGCCCGGCCGCGGTCGGGCCCGGGCCTCGGCCACTCGGGGCGCGGGCCGCGCGCTGCACTCACCTCGGCCGGGCTGCGCTCCCCGCGGGCCTGCGCCGAGCCCGATAAATGGTATGCTATGACTAGAGGTATGATTACGTTATTATTATTAGTAATAATAAGAGTAAATGCTATTTAATTACGGGCGGCAGCATCCTGCTCCCGGCGCCGCCGCCCCGGCAGCTCCGTCCATGTGGCTCCGGAGCGCTGCACTTTCATTTCCAGCCGCTCGGCTGGCCGCTCGCGGCAGCACCCGCCGCAGGCCGCGTCCGGTTCCCTGCGGCGCTTCCTCCTCGGGTCCTAGCGCGGCTCCCCTGCTCCGCGCCGGTGGGCGGCGCGGAGCGCACCTGGGGGCCGAGGGGGGCGGGGAAGTTCCCGCTGCCCCCTGGAAAACTCATGCCTGGGATTCACCTTTACTTTCTTTGTGTCCTTCCCTTTTGGGACTTTTTTTTTTTTCTCCCGGCAATTCTGCATTTCTGGGCGCATGCCGGTCCGACTCAGAGCGCCTCCGCCCTTCCCCGTGTGTGTTAAAAAAAAAAAAAAAAAAAAGCCCGGGTTTCCAGGAGCTTTCATTGAAGGCTCTCCAAAACCCTAGCTGCGTTGTGTCCTTTCCACGGATGAGAACCAGAGGCTCAGGGAGGCATCAGGACCTCAGTCGGCTGGTGTTTCGTGCATGGGAGCTTTCCCGAAAGGATCTGAGGCTGCTCAGAAGACCCAGAATGTAAGGGGAGATCACCAAAGGAGAGACACCAGCTGTAAGCGTCCAGGCCCTGCATCTGAGCTGGCCAGAGCCGGCTGGATTTGAACCAGAGCTTCAGATTCCAAATACAGAGTCGTCACACCTTTCCACTCCTTGCACCGCCGATTCCTGAGAGTTCTCTGAAATTTTCCCCTCTTCATTTTACATACACGTATGTATGTATGCATATGTGTGTGTATATACACATATAGGTATTTTTTTTAATTTATTGAAGATCGGCTGTGAGCCTGGCTGACTTTACCTTTACAAATGTTATCTCTCCCACAAACACATGTGCCAGACACAACGTTAGGAACTAGAGATACATTGCTGAGACTGATTTGAGACACACTGGTGAATGCTAGGAGGGAGGAGAAACTGGTGCTGTTTGCTTATTTAATTCTCACGGTAACCGTGGAAGATTGGGTTTTTTTAAAGATTTTATTTATTTATTTATTTATTTATTTTTAGAGAGGGAAGGGCCGGAGAAAGAGAGAGAGAAACATCAATGTGCGGTTGCTGGGGGCCACGGCCTGCAACCCAGGCATGTACCCTGGCTGGGAATTGAACCTGCGACATTTGGTTTGCAGCCCACGCTCAATCCACTGAGCTATGCCAGCCAGGGTTTGGAAGATTGGTTTTAGCATGCCCATTTCACAGATGGAAAACTGGGGTTTAGGATGAAGTGGCTTGTCCAAGGTGGCAATTCTGACTCCCAAGCCGCGTGTTTTGTGTTTTGCATGGCCTCCTGCACTTCCCCCTGTGTGCTTTAAGGGAGTCCTTAAATGGGGAAAAATATATCTGCACTGACGGAAGTTCTCAAGTTCTCCCTTCTGTGGGCGCTGTCTCTCCTTGCTACTCCAAGATCAGTAAACAACAAAGCGGCCTCTGACATGAAGAGGATGACTTTTTCAGATCCTCAAATGCAAAGCAGAGTCCAATGGCCCTCAGATTCACTATGGGGTGGGGCTTGTTTAAAATGAAGACCTCTGATCCCTCCCCCTCACCCCAGAGATTCTGCCTCAGTATTTCTGACAAGCACAGCCTTGGGGGTTCTCATGTTTAATGGGAGGTGGGCCCCTGAATCACCTGCAATAGACCCAAGATCATGGGCTAAAGGTGGCCACGGGCCAAGCCCGGTGATTCGGGGAGGCTGAGTGGTAGGGTGGAGATGTCACCCAGGCAACGTTAGAAAGCCCAAGGTGTGTTGGAGTCCCACTTGCCAGCAGTGTGAGCCACAGCAATCTCACAGCACCGGTTTCCTCATTTGTAAAATAAAGGTAAGGACACCTAATCTACATAAAGTTTGTTTTGGGGATTACAGTGAAACCGTACCTGTAAAGCATGTAGCACAGTGCCTGCCTAGCTCTCGTAGGGGATGAATAAGTGGTAGTTCCCATTCCACTGCGCACTTTTCGGTGAAACACTCTAGGAAAGTTGTCAGATCAGGCACCCTTGTTACTACATTCCCATGTTATGGGCGAAGATGCTGAGCCCAGTTGGGTGACTGCATCTCGCAGCAAATGAACCCGCTGGTGCAGGTGTGGTGACTCCACCCTCCCAAGGCCAGTGGAATAACAGATCCTTATGACGACTCAGCATTCAAGGGGGAATTCGACTGGACATCCGCCCCCCTGTGTCATCAGTTTGGTACCAACTAATTAAACTGCCTGAGATGGTAAATGAACCTTTACAAGCCCCTGGGAAGGTGGTTCAGTTGACTGAAGAGTCATCCTGTACACCAGAAGATTACAGGTTCAATCCCCAATCAGGGCACATATCCAGGTTCAGGGTTCAATTCCCGGTCGGGGCACATGTGGGAGGCAGCTGATCAATGTTTCTCTCTCCCTTCCTCTTTCTCTAAAATCAATAAGCATATCCTCAGGTGAGGATTGAAAAAAAGAACACATCACACACACATGAGATCTGTCTGGAAAAAGTCCAGCCATGGTTAATACAATGAGAATGGTTTGTGTGACATTGATGTAACCTGGCAGCCAAGGAGAGCAGACTGGGATGTGCATGTGTGAACTATGACAACTCCCCTGTACTGGTCAGTGAGGGCGGTAGGTGCCGTTGAGTGAGCATGTGTACTCTGTGGTAGTCGCATTCAGAATGAGTGAGTAGAGCAATGAATCTACATCCAATCTTGTATTAAGCTTGAACAGTCCTCTGCAGATACCATTCAGATGATTCAGAAGGCCGCAGCAATGGGCAACTGGTGATTGGCAGCTCCATCACAATGACATACCTGCTCATGCATCGCATCTCGTGAAGAGTTTTTGGTGAAATATTAAATCACCCTGGTGACTCAGCCTCAGATTTGGGGCCCTGTGACTTCTGGCTTTTCCCAAAACTAAAATCACTTTAAAATATATATATATATATATTATTTATTTTTAGAGAGAGGGGAAGAGAGGGAGAGAAACATCAATGTGGGGTTGCCTCTCACACACCCCTTACTGGGGACCTGGCCCACAACCCAGGCATGTACCCTGACTGGGAATCAAACCAGCGACCCTTTGGTTTGCAGGCTGGTGCTCAATCCGCTGAGCTACACCAGCCAGGGTTTAAAATCACTTTTGAAAGGTAAGAGATTTCAGACCGTTGATGAGATTCAGGAAAATATGATGGGGCAGCTGATGTCAATTAGGAGAACTGTATGAGGTCCCAAGGTGCCTACTTTGTAGGGAACGGAGGCATCATTGTCCTATGTACAATGTTTCTTGTATTGTGTATCATCTTCAGTAAATGTCTTTATTTTTTCATATTACGTGTCTGAGTACCTTCTGGGCATATATCTAGAAGACCCCGGCAAGAAGAACAAAAGGTGGCAGGCAGTGCTTTGGAGAGAAAGTTCTCCAGGAAGCCCCAGTGCCCCGGTGTCCTCGGGCAGCGGGGCTCCACATCGCCACGTCAACGCTGCAACAGCAGCAACAGCCACCGCTTCTTGTTTACCATGAACCAAGCCCTTGGCACACGTTGATTCTTTACCCTCCCCCAAGCCCCGCAAGATAGGGATTGGTTTCGCATGTTTTTAGGTGAATAAACAGACACAAAGCAGGAGGTGACTTGGTTGAGGTCACACAGCTAAGAAAGGGGCAGAGAGACAGAATTCAGTCCCAGGCCTGTCCACCTGCAAGGCCTGACCACTGCCCCGTGACGTGGACATCTGAAATCTGAATGCGTCATGAGGGCCCGTCACCTGAGCAGGTTGGTTGCTGGAGAACGTGAGCCAGACGCTCATGCTCTGACCTCTGAGAAACCAACAGGAACATCGTTCGGTCATCCCTGCTCCAGTGAGCACGTCCTGCCCCAGGCTTAGCTCTGCCCGGGCTGGCCCCCACGGATGCCTTGTTGAGTCCTGGGTGGGGTCTGAGCACAGGGCAACCTTAGCTGCAGCCATGAGCGGTGTTCTGTTCAACATCCATTTCCACGCTGGGTCCTGGGACTGCAGAGAAACCCCATGTCCCCACAGCTCCAGCAAAGGCCCAGGCCCCCACCTCCAGGACCTTACCTTGGGGTGTAGGGAATGTTTCTGAGGTTGAATGCACAGTTTTAGGGTAAGGTTGGGCATAGCAAGAATACTTTCCCCACAGGGTCGCTGTGAGGATTAAGCATGCAAAGCACTGATAAATGTGTGGTTCACTGAAAAATAAATAAAAATATATATTCCTCTGGGAAAAAGTCCATAGAATTCATATTCTCAAAGGTGACTTAAAAAAAGAGAGAGAGCCCTGGCTGGTGTGGCTCAGTGGATTGAGTGTGGGCCTGCAAGCCAAGGGGTTGCCGGTTGGATTCCTGGTCAGGACACATGCCTGGGTTGTGGGCCATGTCCCCGGTGGCGGGCTTATCAGAGGCAACCACACACTGATGTTTCTTTCCTTTTCCTTCCCTTCCCCTCTCTCTAAAAAATATATAAATAAAATATTAGAAAAAAAAAGAGAGGGTGGGAGGACCTATGAGCCTAGAGGCTGAGACAGGTCAGCCTGTAACACAGTGGATGAAATGCAGGCAGTAAAACATGGTTATATTGGACCCCATAGTTATGAAAATGTTCAAGCATCCGGGAAGTTGAGAGAACTGCATATTCGCATGCCCTAGAGTATGCTACTATTGTTAACATTCTGTGGTATTTGCTTTATCACGGATTCATCTTTCTATCCACCCATCCAGCAGTCCACATAACATTTTTAAAAAGATTTTACTTAAGATAACTCTAGATGCCAGCAGAATCCTAGGAATCTTAGCTGCTCTGGGAAACCAGCTTCAAGGGCAACAGCAGCTTCAGAGAAGCCAGAATAAAAGATTTTATTTAGTCTTAGAGAGAAGGGAAGGGAGGAAGAGAGGGAGAGAAACATCAACGTGTGAGAGAAACGTCAATCAGTTGTCCCCTGCACATGCTCCAAAAGGGGACCGGCCGACAACCCAGGCACGTGCCCCAGTTAAACCAGTGACCTCTTGCCTTGTGGGGCAGTGCCCGACCCACTGAGCACACCAGTCAGGGCCACATAACATTTTTGTTAAAAACAAAGCAGGTAATTTTTAACTTTCTTCTTTATGATTTTTTTGTATTTATACTCATTTTTAAAAAATTACCATCAGTTTTCTTTTTTAAAAAATTATTGCCATTTTGCCTTGGCTGGCGTAGCTCAGTGGATTGAGCGCGGGCTGCGAACCAGGCATCGCAGGTTCGATTCCTGATCAGGGCACATGCCTGGGTTGCAGGCCACGGCCCCCAGCTACTGCACATTGATGTTTCTTTCTCCTCTTTTTCTCTCCCTTCCCTCTCTAAAAATAAATAAATAAAATCTTAGTGCCATTTTGAAACACAATACTTACTGAAAAAGAAAATAATCTACGCAAAGCATCCAGCAGTAGGAAAGCCTTCCCAAACGTTGGTCGTGAATTTAAGCTCCCCTGCAGACACCACCCTTTTCTTCCTCATTTATCCTTGGATTCTCAGGTGCTGGGAGGGTGCCTGGTGCAGAGTAGGTGCTCGATGACTATTTATAGAGCTAATGAATTATTTTAATCGTGGTTGTATATAGAGGTTAAAAAAAAAAAGAGTGTGTTCTGAGGAGAGCCCTAGGTGGAACCTGAGGGGGGCAATGCGGCTTGAGTTGTCTTTTATGAGTGAGGTAGGGACCCCTCTCTCACCAGGAGCGGACCCCTACGGGGGCAGGCTCCCCAGCGGCAGGCCAGGCCCACACGATTCTCCCCAGGGGCCCGAGGGCAGCGCTCATGTGCATCTTAGGAGTTACTCTCCACATCCCTCCCCGTCTGGCATACTCAAGGCACTGGCTTTTGATATGACTGCACGGCAAGTCTGCAGCCTTTCGAAAGCCGGCGTAACTATTATTTGTACCGTTTGCAATGGGCAATTAGGTTTGTTTTCAGGCACCAGCATGGAATTTAAAATACTCAGTTAAAGTAAACCAAACTAATCAGAGGCAGCCTGCTTTCCTCTTCAAGACATTAAAAAAACAAAACGAAACAAAATGCACTGCACGACAGAGAAAGGTCTGGAATGTTCCCCATCCACTTATTCCTGCCTCCCACTCACAAAGGGACGTGTATTTGTGTGTGTGCGTGCGTGTGCGCACGTGTGTGTGTGTGTTGAAAAGAAGCCTAGAGATCTGGCTTCTATTATGCCTTCTCTAAATGTCTGTGTAGTTTGGACAGGTCATTTGACCTCTTTGGGCTGAAGTTCTTCATCTGCTGAGAAGAGGAAAGGGGCGGCCGGAGACGGCTTTATCCGTCTGTCAGAGGCTACGAGTCCACTTCCAGGGCCAGACAAACAGACCAGCTCTCTTGTGATAACAGAGGGACAGTTGGAGGAAGGGAAGGACACAGAGAAGATGACAAATGGGTTGCTTGGAAACACTGACAGTTCTGCACTCTTCTGACTCACTCTGCACCCTTGGGCAAACCTCCTTCCTTTGCTTTTAAACCTCAGTCTCCATTTTAAAGGGCTTTGACCCCTGGCTGGTGCGGCTCAGTGGATTGAGCACAGGCCTGCAAACCTAAGGGTCGCCAGTTCAATTCCCAGTCAGGGCACATGCCTGGCTTGCAGGCCAGATCCCCAGTAGGGGGCGCACAAGAGGCAACCACACATTGACGTCTCTCTCCCTCTCTTTCTCCTTCCCTTTTCTCTCTCTAAAAATAAATAAAGGGAGGTGAGATAAAATCTAGATTTGGGAGTAACAAACAGAATCTAGATGGCTAAGGGGTGCTGTCAGGCTGGGTTTGTGATTTTCTGCTCAGCATGTGACTACTTTGAGGCAGAACAACTACTCTCGAGTTCTCCATTAGCCCCCGTGACCTCCTATTACCTCCCTGGCCTTTGAAGGTCACTGAACTTCTGCTAAGAATTCCCTTCCAGTTCTTTCTTCCTTTTTCTCTCTCTCTTTCTTTAATTTATTGATTTTAGAGAGAGAGGAAAAGGGGGGGAGAAAAACATCAGTTTGTTGTTCCACTTATTTATACATTCATTGGTTGGTTCTTTCATGTGCCCTGGCTGGGGATCAGACTTGCAGCCTTGTCGTATAGGGATGCCGCTGTAACTAAGTGAGCTACCCAGCCAGAGCCACTTCGAGTTCTGAAACCCCTGATCCATCAAGTAGACGAAAAAAAAAAAAGATTGTCTAAGATGTTCCACCGCCCACCTTCTCCTTTCTGGGCGGTCTGTCTCGGAGCGCCAGGACAGTCACAGGAAGTAAACTGGAAAGGGGAGCCTGGAGATCACCCCAAGAGACCCCCAGACCGATCTGATTGACCCCAACTGGAGTCAGCACAGGGAGTGCAGCAGGCCTAACTGGGGCCATCTCAGCCTCCTCAGATGATATTTGTTTGAAGCAAACTCCAGCGACTCTGGCTGGAAACCAGTTCAAATAAGGAAACCTGAAGCGCCTGGCCCCAAGGGATGCTGAGCACCTGTCCCCGAGGTGCTCCCAGGTTGAGGAGGAAGCCACCCTGAGCACTGTTGACTCTGACTGTGAGGGAACCCACAGACCGACTGCTGTGGGGGCTTCCGGCTCACTGTGGGGGCCAGGAGGAAAGTGTCCCGGCTGGAGTGGTGTGGGAAAGCTCCCAAGGAAGGTGGCATTTGATACGGGCCTTGTAGGCAGAGAATGAGGAAGAAGATGCAAAGATGACCCCTGTCTGAGTAGTTGTGTGAACCGGGCTGGAACTTTGGCTTCCTCATCTGTGCACTGGACCTCCGTTCCCCTCTCTAAAAACAAATAAATAAAGAAACAAGGAAAAGCTACTCGTGTTCTGATGCAGACCGCCTGGAAAGAACAAGGAGGGTGGTAATGATGCCCACCTCCTTTGTGGTTGTAGAGATTCAACTGGCTGTGTGGTCAAGGATCTGGCTCGTAATACACAGGGTGGGGCAAAAGGAGGTTTACAGTTGTGGTACAAATAAATAATACAATAAATAATAAATAATAACACAAGAACACCCTGACTGGTGTAGCTCAGTGGGTTGAGCGTGGGCTGTGAACCAAAGAGTCACCAGTTCGATTCCCAGTCAGGGCACATGCCTGGGTTGTGGGCCAGGTCCCTAGTGGGGGCCACATGAGAGGCAACCACACATTGACACTTCTCTCCCTCTTTCTCCCTCCCTTCCCCTCTCTAAAAATAAATAAATAAAACCTTTAAAAATAATAATAATACAAGAACAAACTCTGTGTTTTGCATACTCACAACTGCAAACCTCCTGCACCCCACCCTGCATGGGACTCTGAATCACAGGTAGAACAAAAGCGTGTGTGTGGGCGGGGCGGTGAAAGCGCCTTTGGAAAAGACAGCTGCACATGTTGACAGTGATTAGCTCTGGGTGCTACAGTCTCTAGGGTAATGTTTACTTTTCTCTCTGGCCTGTTCTAAATTGGCTGAAGTGTTTACGATGAACATGTGTTATTTAGATAATGGCTAAAAGGGTTTGTGTGTGTGTGTGTGTGTGTGTGTGTGTGTGTGTAAAGAAAAGAGAAGCCCTGGCTGGTGTGGCTCAGTGGATTGGGCGCTGGCGGGCAAACCAAAGTGTCGTGGATTTGACTCCTAGTCAGGGCACCTGCCCGCGCTGTGGGCCAGGTCAGGTCCCCAGTAGGGGGCGCACAAGAGGCAATCACACACGTGGATGTTTCTCTTTCGCTTTTTCTCCCTCCCCCTCTCTAAAAATAAATAAATAAAATATTAAAGAAAAAAAGGAAAAGCTACTTGTGTTCTGATACTTTAGAAATCCAAACCTTCAGAAAAGTGGTCAAAATGTTCAAAGAACTCCCATATTCACTTACTGTTAACGTTCTGCCACATCTGTACTCTACATGTATATAGATATCCCCCCACTTTTTGAAAGTTTGCTACGCCACTTTTTTTCCCCCCCACAAAAGGCATCCATCTGTAGAGTCAGCTCTCTGTACCTGCAAGTTCTGCATCCTCAGATTCAACCAACAGAGAGGAATAAGGGCAATCTCTTACATAACCCAGTACAGGAACAAAAATCAATACATTTAATGTTGATACAATACTATTACATAACACACAGTCAAGTTTTGCTAATTGTCTCAATATTGCCCTTTGGAGTAATCCCCCCCCCGCAACACACACACTGCAAGATTCAATCCAAGGTGTTGCATTTCGTCGTGCTGTCTTTTTAGCCTCCCTTCATCTGCAACAGTCCCTCCGCTTTTCTTTGCCTTTCGTGGGAGACGTGTTTGGAAGGGTGCAGCCCGGTTATTCTGTGCCGTGTTCGGGTTTGTCTGATGTTTCCCCACTATTAGGTTAATTGCACTGCTCACTGGAGGGTGCTGCCGTGTCCTCCGTGCATCACATACAGCGGGGTGAGACGGCTGTCAGTGTGTCCTCTTGTTGATGTTCATAAGGGCCGATCGGGTGAATGAGCTGTCACCGAGTTTCTCCCCCATAGGGTTACTCTTTCCCCTGTTTAATTATCAAGTAATTTGTGGCTGTTTACATGGAAAGCTTCCAATGTCCTTTCAATTTCATGAGACCAAAAAAAAAAAAAGGCGAGGCTTTCTTTTCAGGAGATACCTATGTCCTGCCGAAATGATCCTACAGCGTGCGCTGGGCTAGACCAGCTTTCGTTAAGTTACGTGAAAGCGCACCTTTCTAGAAAGGCGAGGACGGTAGGCCGCAAGGCATTACGGGAATTGTAGTCTTTCCGGGAGCTCGCCACAAAATGCCGCCCTGTAGACTCCCAGAGAAAGAGCCAGAAGTTGACAAGGGAGGGCGCAGAGGGCCGCCCGCCCGCCCTGGGCGCGCGGCATCTCGGGAAGGTAGTTCGCGGCGGCGCCCCTCCGCGCCACCCCGCCGCGCCGCAGGCGGGGCACCGGACTACCATACCCGAGATGCCGCGCGCGCGGGGGCAGGGGAGGCCGTCCGGGCCTCGAACAAATCAAATCGAAGGAAAGAAACTGCCGGCTTTCAAAATCCTCCTCCTCCGCCATCATCCTTAGCCGTGCGCGGAGCAGGTGGTGTCGCGAGTGGGGAGAAGAGACGGACAGGCGGGCTGGGCATCGGGACCGCTGGACTCGGAGGCGGCGACTCCGACCGGACCTGACGCGGACCCTGAACCAGCCCCCATCCCGGAGGGAGTACGCGCCTGCTAGAGCCTCCCCACGCGGCGGCGCCGTCTGTTTACGGTAGGATAGGGGTCCCTGTCCTTTCCCTGTCACTTGCCTGGCATGGGGGCGGGGCGGCTCTGGAACTGGACGTGGAAGGTGTGGCGCCCATTGAGCACTTTCTCCCCCTGCGCCTTCTCCGGCCAAGTGCGGAGGGGGTGGGGGCGCCGGACCCCTTCGCAAGTGGGGAAACTGAGGCTTAGAGAGGGCGTCTGGCTCTCGTGGTCGCCGCTGCCAACAGTGGCGTCTCCTTTTAAGTGTCGGTGTCAACTGGGGGCGGTGCGCGTCGCCCAGGGATCCCGGGTGCGGCTCTCGCGCTGCCCGCCTGTCACTTGCGGCTGGCGCTCGCTCGTATCGCCCTCGGCGGCCGCCTCCCAATAGGCCCACGCTTGCCGAGGGCCTGGGCTGGCGCCGCAGCCCTCGGGAGGGAATCGGCGTGACTCACTGCAAACGCTTCACCTGAGCGATGGGTGCGCCTCCAAGAAAGTGACGCCGGAGCGGAGGAGGGAAGAGACTGTGTGTGTGTTTACCGTTTGTCTGTGCTCTGCCGCTGCTCCTCTGCAGACTTTGGACAAACGAATTCACCTCTTTGCTGAGTCTAGTGGATCGCGTGTGTGCACTGGGCTGAAGGATGGGCGCTCCGCCAGCTCATAAGTTTGTGTGCCTGTCCCGTTTGGATGCGCCCCCCGCTCCCCGCCCCAAACACACACACCGTTTTTGTAGCCTCAACTTGTTCCCTCCCAGAACTGCAAGAGGTGGTGGAGTTTCAGGCTAATTTTTACTCTGCTTCATTCTGTCATTGGAGCATCTTTTAAAAGCCAGGCCCCATGTGGCAGATACATCGATCCCGTGGAAACGTGTGTATCACCCTCTCCTCTGCTGGAAACATTCCAGTGGCTCTCCTTGTCACTCGGGATAAAAGCCACAGTTCTTAAAATGACCTTTGTGATTTGGGCGTTTTGTTCATTCTCTTTTCTCATTTCTTACCTCTGTTCTCCCTTCCTCTCGGCGCCCCAGCCCCGCTGGCCTCCTTGAAGTTCCTCTCCCCCACAAGAGCAGTTAGTTGAGTTTGCAAAAATGTTCTTCCTCCCGGTATCTGCACGGCTCGATCTCTGCTGTCCTTCGATCTCTATTACCCTTCGTCTTTTTTCCCCCTCTAATACGTCCTGTAACTGTTCTACTTGGAATTGCAACCCCCCCCCCAAAAAAAACCCTCCTTACTCGCCTCCTTCCCTGTTTGTTTTCCATATCAGATACTGAGTATCTTATTTAAGATACTCAGTATCTTGTTTAGAACATGTTTCATGCCAGCAGGGTTTTTGCTTTATCATTCACTGCTGTACTCCTGGTACCTGCAACAATGTCTGGCACACAGTAGTAGTCATAAATGTTGAATGAATGAATGGATGCCTCTTTACCCAGAAGAATAATTCATGCCTATTGATCAAGACAGACACACCAGGGTGATAAGGTTAAGACAAGAAGAGGGTGGGAAGCTGGCTGCTTGGGCCCAGTGGGAGCTTGGGGAGCTATCACAGCAGTATCTTGAGGCTGAGTAGATTCAGGAGGGGAGCAGTCTGGATGGAGAGAGCCTCTGTGCGTGTCTCCTAGTTCTCTCTGCCAAACCAGTCTTCTTGGTCTCACCTGGTGACCTGCCATTTCCCCTTTGGAGAACGGAGTGGTCCTTTCCGAGTCTACTGAGCTGCACACTGGAAGCTCCCTTTTTCAGCACCTCTGCCCCTGCTCTATTGTGATGGTGGCCGTTGTGATGTAGAGACACCTCTAGTCTCCTAGGGATCCCTGAGGTCTGACCACCGTGGGCTGCCTACCCTCCTGGCCTGGGTTGAAACCAGATGTGCGGTGGGCTGGCTCCTGTGCCCCACCCCCAGAACCATGCCAGTGTGGGCGGTGGGGCATCCTCTGGGACGGATGACCCGGATCCTATAGCCATCTATGTCCTGTTTGAGGGGTGGGACTCTCAAACAGGGACCAGCCAAGATGGTCCGGGAGGTGTGTGCTTGGGGCAGACTGCTGGCCGCCATGGTCCTGGCACTTAACCGTCACTCGCCGGGAACCCAGGAACTGGGCAGCTCACATGGCTTTGCTGGGTGTCCCGGCTGGGGCAGGTGGGCGAGGATGCCTTATAGCAGAAAGGTAGTTCTTCAGGGGCAAAATGTGATTCTTCTGTTTTCTTGCCGTCTCAGCCACCTTTCTAAGATCACTCCTTTCCCAGTTTGCGGTTTTCATTTCTCCCCGTGGTGTAGCTATTGGGAAGGTGGGTGCAGGCTCCTGATTGGGTCCTACCCTGGCTCCCCAACTGGGGACCCCAGGAGCCTCCTCCCTCCCGCTCTCTCTCTTTTAAAATGTATTTACTTATTGAATTTTAGAAAGAGAAACATCTTATTTGTCATTCCACCTATTTATGCATCTATTGGTGAATTTTTGTGTGTGCCCTGATGGGGGATTGAACCTGCAACCTTGGCGTGTAACCAACACAGCTGCCCACCGGGGTCGAGCCCTCTCTCTCTTAACGAAACTTTGGCCTCCTCAGTTTGCAGATTTCCAGGGGAGCCTACCAACGAGTCCAGCATGGCCTCTGAGGACATTGCCAAGTTGGCAGAGACGCTAGCCAAAACCCAGGTGGCCGGCGGACAGCTGAGTTTCAAGGGCAAGAGCCTCAAACTCAACACTGCGGACGATGGTGAGTTCCTGCGTGGGCTGACGCGAGGGAGGACGGGGGTGTGGGAACGAGCCCTCCCTCTTACTGTCCACGGGCTCCTTTGGCTACATTATCATAATCTGGCCTTGCAGCTCTGGGAGGTACCACTGGGCCCATGTAACAGTTGGGGCTCAGCGGTGGTTTGCCCTTGAGCACACGCTGGCTCCCCTGCCGGTCTTCATGTTTGCGGTGGGCATTTCTTTTTTTTTTTTTTTAAGACTTTATTTAGTTTATTTTTAGAGAGAGGGGAAAAAGGGAGAAAGAGACGGAGAGAAACATCCATGTGTGGTTGCCTCTCACATGCCCCCAGCTGAGGACCTGCCCCACAACCCCGGCATGCGCCCTGACTGGGAATCAAACCAGCAGCCTCTCGGTTCATAAGCCGATGTTCAGTCCACTGGGCCACACCAGCCAGGGGTGTGGTGGGCATTTCTGCCATGGCAGCTCCGGCCGGCAGGTGGGAAGGGCCCCATTATCCTTGGAAGGGATGGAGACAGCAAGGGACCACAGCGGCAGTCCCGATACCCACCCCTGTCTTCACCCGCATGACCCTAAGCTGATTGGGGAACGCCTGTCACCTTCCCCGGGGCTGAGGCCCTCATGGAGCTGCATTAGGACAACAGTCCAGGCCCTCTTGGGAGGTCTGGTCCGTGCAGCTGCGTCTCCCTGCGAGGGCAGGACGCTGCTGTCGGTGAGCAGGCGCCAGCACTGGGGAGAACTGGGAATCCGAAGGCAGACTGTCTTTCCATCCCTGGCCAAGGCACGGCTTGGCCGGACCAAGCCTGAGTCCCCTAGCGTCAGGCATTGAAGGCACCTGTATCGGTATTTGTAAGACCCCAAGGTTTTGGCCCGACCAGGTAAACTGGTCTGGGCTTGCCTGGTTGTCACGGTGTGTGGGCGGGCTCGCCCCTCCACGGGGTCAGAGGCTGCTTCAGCCCGCGGCCTGCTGGGAGCGTGGCGATGCGCATTCTTAACGTCTCGTACAGGGTCTGAACGTCGACCGTGTTCCTCCCTGCGCTTTCGTTACTTTTGATTCTTGCGTCATCCCTGAAGTACAAATGTTGCTATTTTAGATGTAAGGAAAAGGACCTGGGAAACTTAAATGACTGGCCCAAGGTCATACGGCTGCTCGGTCACGGAGCCCGGACTTCAGCAGAGGTCCGGCATCCTGTCCCTGTCCCTGTCCCTGTCCCTGTCCCGTCCTCCCTGCAGGCATTCAGCTCCCGGCAGTAAACCTGGGTGTGTGATTAAATGCCACTCGCTGAACACTGTGTCAGGCGGAGTCTTAAGTGTCACCCAAGTAGAATCTCAGTCTGTCCTCACAGAAGCCCTGGAGGTGGGCTTCGTCTCCACTGTGCAGGCTGGAAAGGGAAGGCTGGGAAAGGACTCTGTCTTGGCCGGGAGCTGGCCGGGGCGGCCAGGGGCGAGCAGGGGCCTGAGCGAGGGGGCCTGAGGCTGGTGATGAGAACAAGGCCCTCTTCTCTCCCAGGAGTCACTTAAGGAGCAGAGAAAGGCCTTTCCGCTTTACGTGGCCAAGTGACAAACACCTGGAACTTGTCACTGTGGGAGGCGGCAGAGAGTGAAAAGAGAAACCCCTGCCCGCAGCCCCGTGGCGTCCGGGCGTTCAGGAGGGGCTGGGGCCCGTGTCTGCCCTGTTTTTAAGTCGGTGCGATTCCGTTTGGGTTGCATCGAAGTGAGAGAGGCAGCTCGTCTCTGAGCCCCACCCTCTCCATTCCCTGCTCTTCCCACCTGGGCGCATTTCCTGCCCAGGGCGGGCTGTGCTTGTGAGTTGCCCCAGGGCTGAACTTGTAGAAAGCACAGCACCTATGTCGTCCTGTACTTAAGTCGCTTACACAGCAAGGGTGGCCTTCCCCTGGGGCCCTGGCGTGCCTGTTGCCTTGCGTTTAAGGGCCACATAAACATGCCTTGAGCAGCCCTCCTCTCCTCGCGGTGACCAGTGACTGGACAGTCCCTGGATGTTAAGGGGCCCCTTTTGGAACAGGTCTTCTAATAGCTGCGAGGTCCTTCAGCCCTTGCACTGGACGCCACGCCCCCAGCAGTCACCCAGGAGAGGTGGCAGGGCAGGGGGCTGCATGAAGGCCACGGTGGGGCTCAGAAGCAATGTGGCTGGGGGAGGAGCACGGGGGTCCCCAGTTTGGGGAAAGCAGCCTGCGGTTTTCCCCGAACTGCTGTGCGGAGTTGCCTCATTCCTTGAAACCTCAGCTTCTTCTTTTATAACATGGGAGGCTCCTGCCTGTCCAGCCTCCCTGGTTGTGAAATGGGAAATGGAAGGTGAACGCTGCTCACCACTTTCTGGCTGTGTGACCTCGGTAGGCGTTTATGTCCGCCTGCGTGTCTCAGTACACTCACCTGTACTGTGCCATAGGTGCAACAGTAGCCCCTCGTCAGACGGAGTGGGGAGCGTGTGGGTCCGTGGTGTACGCCACACACGTTAGGGCGGTAAGTGCTTACCCCTACGGGGCACTGAGCGGAAGCGGTGAGAGCCCCTTTCCTCACGGAGCTCACGGCCCGGCGGGCAGACGGTGCTAACAAAGTCACCACGCGATGGTCAAGCAGTCGTGAGGCCGGGGCGAGATCGCAGGAGCGATCGGGGCTGTGCCGGTTCGGCCCGCTGGGGGCTTGGCAGGGGCCCCCGAGGAGGTGCGGCGGCGGGCAGGGGGAGGGAGGCGGGGGTGCGCAGGGCCCCCAGCTCCAATGGCTTCTTTGGGAGCCCCTTCCGGGTTGCAAGTCACAGCCTTTCTCAAGACCGTCTGTGGGCTTTGTAACCTAGAAGGTCAAGTTCGACTTCTGTCTCCCACGTACGTATATCTCCATCCCTTCTCTACATGCCACCCCAGCCCACTCCATCCTGTGCCAGCCGGACTACATTGTTTTGGTTCATGTAGCTGGTGTGTTTTGTTCAGATTATAAAGCTAATACATACATGTTATAGAATACAGAAACATGGAAGAAGGAAAAATCTTGCAACTTCATTATCCCACAGCCCAGCGGTATAACTCCTGTTAATGTTGGTACATTTCCTAGTCTTTTTCCCCCACCAAACATAGCTGAGTTCTTTTTTCTTCTTTTTTTAAAAACATAATTAAGATCATATTACAGGTACTTCAAAGATTTTACTTATTTATCTTTAGACAGAGGGAGGGAGGGAGAAAGAAAGGAAGAGAAACATCAGTGTGTGGTTGCCTCTCATGTGGCCCCCACTGGGGACCTGGCCTAGAACCTAGGCATGTGCCCTGAGTGGGAATCGAACCCGCGATACTTTGGTTCGCAGCCCGTGCTCAATCCACTGAGCTACGCCAGCCAGGGCATGAGTATTTTCTAAGTCAAACACCTGCGTCGCTGTTCGTGATGATGTTAGTGTTACTCTCCTCCAGTGAGTTCCCATGTCAACCTCTCCGCTGTTGATGGACATTTAGGTGGTTTGGAGTTTTTCATCATCATGAGACAGTACAGTAATGAACACCCCAAACACGAATGACCGAACCCGTCCTTGAAAGGCTCCGTGCCACTGTGCCTGCTGGCCCTCTGACCTGGGTGCCGCTTCCCCACTTGGCCCGGGGCCCGCCTGTCCTGTGAGGCTCCGCGCGCACCACCACGAGGTGTCCCAAGCCCCGGGCAGCCGGCTGGCCTTCCCCTCGGCTCCCAGGCCCGCTGCCCGTGCCTGGCTCTGACGCCTGGTACAGGAAAACCGTCGTGGGGCCGTGTTCCCTGCTGGACCGCGAGCCTGTCTGTCGGTGATGTGATGGGGTGGCGGCCGGGCCCCCCCGCCTCAGCTCTTTGCGAGTCTAAGGTTCTCCTCTTTGGTTCTGGGCAGCCAAGGACGTGATTAAGGAGATCGAAGACTTTGACGGCTTAGAGGCCCTGCGCCTGGAGGGCAACACGGTGGGCGTGGAAGCGGCCAAGGTCATCGCCAAGGCCTTGGAGAAGAAGTCGGAGTTGAAGGTGAGATGTCCCGGGGCGGACAGGCTGGGGACAAGCTTCTGCTCAAAGAGCCACAGAACGTTCTGGGCCCCTGTCTTGTCGGCGGTCACCACGGCCAGCTCCCCTCCCCCGGGCTTCCCCAGAGCGCTCGGCAGCGGCCAGGGCCCCTCTCCCTGTGCGACGTGTCCATTCGGGTCCTCCAGCAGCAGACACTGAGGTGGCACCACGAGTGCAGCGAGCTTACCGGGCAACACGTGTGGAGGATGAAGGGGAGGGGAGCGGCACTGGACAGGGAGAGCCTCCAGCTCGTGATGCGGCGCTGGCGCCTGTTGGGAGGGAAGGGCGCGGCATTGGGGCGAACCTCCCTCTTCCCACGCGCACTCGGTCTGCCTCCGCCTCCGAGCACAGGTGGCCTGACGGAGGAGTCTCGTGTTGGGCGAAATGGCCAGGCCTCGGCTCAGGTGCCCGGGTGGGTTGGCAGCGTCCTGCAGCCCAAGGTGGCCAGCTAACTGCTGCATTCCTCACAGCATGAGAGCTCAGCCTGTGCATCTCGTCGCCCCGTGCAGACCCAGTGCCTCAGGTCACCCACCCCAGCATCTCAGGCCTACTTCCATGCAGGAGGGAGCCCGAGGTGGGGTGGGGGGGGGGGCAGGCGGAAGCGGCTCTTGCTGCCCGTCGTGCTCTGGGCACGTGCAGGTGGCAGACAGTGTCTCCTGTGACGCATGCACAAGTTCGATCTTGACAGACGAGAAAAGTGTGGCCCACGGTCACGCACCTCAGGCGTGGGCCGGAGTCCAGCCCCCTCACCGCTCTGCTGCCCTCTTGTCGTTGGGGAGGCCTGGAGCCCACAGCACAGATAGGGTACCGGGGTGGAGGTGGGGATTGCCGCCCTCAGCCCACCAGAGCTGGCTCTGGGGAGCTTCGGGGTGCAAGGCCAGGTGTGAGGGGCCCTGGTGCACCGGCTGCGGCTGGCTGTCTGGGCCCTGAGCACCCGTGTACCGGGATGACCCACTGAGCAGACCGTGCGGAGGGTCCCCCGAGGCCCCGGTGTGCCAGCGACGCGCTGTAGCTCTCGCACAAACCAGTTTCCCTGGTGCTCGAGGGTGCGTTCAGTCCGTGCACACGGAGGACTGGGTTTTCAGGGGAACGGTGCTTCCCTGTGCCCCGTCATTCCAGGTTGCCCGAGGAACAGCCAGAGCTGCCGGAGTTGGACCTTGGGGGCGCGGTGGCTGAGTCGGAGGGCAGGACTGTGTATGTGCCCACGGTGCCTGACCCGTGCTGGTCGGCGTGGTGCAGCCCAGGGCTGCGGCCTCCACCTCTGCAGCGTTTACCTAACATTCCCTTTAAACCAGCTCCCTTCGAAGTCATGGGAAAGCAAACCCAGCCCCTTCTATTCAGTGTGATGGGGGGCTTCACGTGCACGGACCACAGGGTGTTCCAACTGTGCCCGGCGGCTGCTCTTCCTCTGCTCAGTGGGAAGCGGGGAGGTGGGCGAGACCCGCCAGCCTCCACGGGAGGTCACCCTCTGGGTCACCCCTGGAGGGGGCAGGCCTGCCACCCAAAATCGTGTCGCATGTCGCTGCCCCGCACCGTGTGGGAAACCGGTGTTGGAAAGGAGCACGGGCCTCCGTGGGCCCAGAGCGTCTCCGTGCTCTCGCCCTGACCCCCTCCCGGAAGGCCAGAGGTCAAATGGATGGGGCCCTTCCTGGCACTGCTCCGGAGCCTCTGGGCCCCACCAGCTTTGGCCGGAGCTGGTCCGGCTTTTCACTGACAAAGCCCAAACTAAGAAGTCTTTTTTTTTTTTTTTTTTTTTTAAGATTTTAAAAATTTATTTATTTTTAGAGAGAGGGGAAGGGAGGGAGAAAGAGAGGGAAAGAAACATCAATGTGTGGTTGCCTCTTGCACGCCCCACATCTGGGAACCTGGCCCACAGCCCAGGCATGTGCCCTGAGTGGGAATCAAACCAGCGACCTTTGGTTCACAGGCCCACACTCAATCCACTGAGCCACACCAGCCAGGGCCCAAATTAAGAAATCTTATAGTGCTCTGTGCTCCGCGTCCATGCGGCGAGGTGCTGCTGACTGACTCCCTCCAAGGGTCTCAGCTAACTCTCTCCGTCTTCCTTTCAAAGCGATGCCACTGGAGCGACATGTTCACGGGGCGCTTGCGGTCGGAGATCCCGCCGGCCCTGGTAAGTGAACATAGCGGCTGCTCCCCCTCCCTGCTGGGCACAGGGACCCCTTTGGCCAGGTGGGGCCGCACCGCCCCTCCTCTGCTCCCCAGCTCCGGATCTGTGCCCCGCCCCGTTTCTGCCCCCAGTCTCTGGCAGCGCCTCCTCTCCTCGCCCATTTCTCCTGGGGCGCTGCAGTGTCCCCAGCCCAGGAGGGTCCCAGGATTGCTCCTCCAGGCACATGCGTGCTGCTTTATGCTTGTGTCTCAGCTCATGATTTTCCTGCTGTCTGGAATCTCACGTTTGACCGGCTGATTCTCATCCAGACTGAGCTCAAACGTCACCTCCTACAGAAAGCCTTCCCTGACCACGCCGCAGACACCGGACCCACTCCCCGGCAGAATTAGGGGCCCCTGCAGGGTCTCCAGCCCTGGGAGTCTGAGTCAGCAGCCCTGTGCCGAAGTGGCCTGGGTCTCCGCCGCTTCCCCGCCAGCCTGAGTGCCCCCGGCACAGGAGCAGCACCTGTCAGGTGGCTGTGACACTGACTTGAGCTTCATCTGTGCCCAGATCTCGCTGGGGGAGGGACTCATCACAGCCGGAGCCCAGCTGGTGGAGCTAGACCTGAGCGACAATGCCTTCGGGCCCGACGGCGTGCGGGGCTTCGAGGCCCTGCTGAAGAGCCCCGCCTGCTTCACCCTGCACGAGCTCAAGCTCAACAACTGTGGCATGGGCATCGGGGGTGGCAAGGTGGGTGCGGCAGCCCCTCCTGCGCGGCCCCACTGCCCTTCTCCCTCCCTCCCTGCCAAGCCCCGTACGACGTTCGCCTCCATCTGAAGTGTGTGCCCGGCCACCCACCATCTGGGCTGGTTGGCCCGTTGTGTTTTCTCTTCAAAGGAGAAAGGTCTCGAAGGCGGCAGCCTGTAGCCAGTGGGGAGAGGAGATGGAGTTCATGAGGGTGGGGTTGCCAAGCAACCATCTCGATTCTGCTGTTGCCAAGGCAACACAGAGGCAGTATTGCACTGACCTGCTGGCTCTGCAGAATGCAGGCTTTGGGTGTCCCTAGACCTGCTGTGGCCCTGGAATGGCTGTCAGAGCCACTGAAGCCCTGGCTGCGCGCATGGTGGGGGGGGCCCGGAACAAGACGGCTCAAGTCCCCTTTGTCCCTGCCTCCGCCGCCCTGCCGTCAGCCAGGCTGGTCAGCGTGGGGAGGCCCCCTGCTCCGTTCTGGCTCCGTTGGGCCTAGGTTCTGGAGAGACCGACGCCGGTCTAGTTCCCGTCTCCCCTCGCCTTGACGTTCCAGCCAAAAGTAGGAAAGGGCTGGGGCGCAGGAACTGACAGCAGCTGGAACATCCTTTCAAAGGTGTGTTAGGTCCACAGACTTAAATCCCCCACCCACACTGCCCGGTGGGGGATACTGTCGCCGGTTTTTCAGATACGTAGGCTGGGGCTTCGAGATCTCGGGCTGAATGCCCTGGGATGCGTGGGACTGATGCGGGATTTGAGCCTGCGTCCACGTGGCCCTGTCAGAGCAGCCAGAGGAGCCTGTGTGCGGTGCTTGCAGTGCCCCAGGCGGAGGAGCCAGAGTAGCCTCCCCTGCAGAGGTGCCTGTCCCTGCTTGTCCCAGGGGGGAGAACAAGGGCCGAGCTCCCACGCCCGTCTCAGCCAGCCATCCCCCCGCCCCAGCCCGACTGGCCAGTGGGCTTCGTGCGTGTTACGACCCACGTGAGTCTGAATCCGCGCAGAACACAGGTGCAGCCCCAGCTGCGGTGTGGCGTGCCAGGGAGCCAGAGACGTCCTTGGAGAAGGCTTCTGTTTTCCACCCACGCCTCACCTCTGCCCCGGAACTGAGGCTTTGGGGCCGCCTGCAGGCAGCACCGCGAGGGCAGGGACACCTGGGTGTCAGGGTTTTGCTCCCAGCAGCTGAGACCCTGCTTTGTGTGGCTGCTCTGGACAGCGGCGTGTCAGGAGGGTGCAGTGGGGCCGTGGTCCCCTTGGCCAGCTCCCCTACGTCCTGGGGAGCATGGGAGAGGCCCTGGGAGAGGTGGGTTCTGGCCCAGGGTCTTCCACTTGCTGAGCCGCCACAGGAGAGTGGCGCCTCCGCGTGTCTGTGTGCGGGTCGGCCCTCCCGCCCGCCTGCTGGGTGTCCCGGACAGGGGCCCGCACCTGGGCGCAGGGCCCACCCCTCTGCCCTCCGCCCTGCCCCCGCAGATCATCGGGACTCTGGAGGAGTCCATCCCTGAGCCTGCTTATTTCAGCTGGGAGGGCCCCGGGAGGGCTCCCGCCTGCTGCAGGGCTTGTGACGGCAAGCGGGCTAATCGGGCCCCCCTCCCTGGACCTGGCTTCAAGGCGGCCACTCAGTGTCGGGGTGTCCCTTCCCACTGGGCCCTGGTCGCCCACTCCAGGGTGGTGGGACCCCCCCCACACGAAGCAATAGATAAGAAAGCTCTTTGTGAACTTGCAGGTGCTGGGCGTGTGTGAGGGGGTACCTCTGAGCCTTTGAGTGGTTACTCGTCCCCGCACACCCGCCACCAGTGGGTGGCGTGGGGGATCGAGGGCCGGTTTAGCTGCGTGGCCGCCCCGCTGGGGGAGGGGCTTCCTGGCTAGGCCGGGCCCTCTGCCTGTTCCCCGCAGATCCTGGCGGCCGCGCTGACTGAGTGTTACCGGAAGTCCAGTGCCCAGGGCCGGCCGCTGGCCCTGAAGGTCTTCGTGGCCGGCAGAAACCGTCTGGAGAACGACGGAGCCACTGCCTTGGCGGACGCCTTTGGGGTGAGTGGGTCTTGCCCCTCCTGCCCAGCCCACCGACCGTCCTGGGGGTCCACCCAGCTCCGCAGCCTAGCCGGCAGCCCTCGGGCAAGCCTCCCCCCACGCCAGTCCTCGGGAGCTCGGGGGCCGATGGGGTGCAGACAAGGAGACTCTGACATTCCAGTGTGGCGAACGCCATGCCGGAGGAAGGGCAGGGGGCTCTGGGGGTCCAGAGGAAGAGCATTCAATGGTGCGTGGGGCAGCCCAGGAAGCCCTCCTAGGGGAGGAGGCATCCCAGATTAGAGCTATACAGTGCGCAGTAGTCAGCCCACTAGGAAACTGCCAACAAATAAGGAGATGGAGTGTTCCAGGCAGGGAGAGGGAAGTGTCAAAAAAGGTTGGGGTACAAAAGAGCCAGGTGGGTTAGGGAAGACCCTCCGCACCCCCAAAACAGGCCGTGGTGTGTGGGGTGTCAGTCATGGAGGTGGGGCAGGAGAGCCCCAAGTCAGGAAGACCCAGTGGAGCTGCGCTATGCAGAGAAGGGCCGTGGCTGACCACCACACCAGGGCCCAGGGTCCCCGCAGTGTGGGGGACCCCTGACTAGGAAACTTGTGCCAGAGCTGTGTGACTCCAGGCAGGTCACTTAGCCTCTCTGATCCCTAGCCTTCTGGGTTCGGTGGGTCTCCCTCACACAGTGGTGGAGGGGCTCAGGTGCAGCCGTGCGGAGAGGCGCACTCTGAGACCTGCTCTGCCCAGGACATCCACAGACAGGCCCCTGCCTGCGTGGACAGCAGCCCCTCTGCGTGTCTGTGTGCGGGTCGGCCCTCCCGCCCGCCTGCTGGGTGTCCCGGACAGGGGCCCGCACCTGGGCGCAGGGCCCACCCCTCTGCCCTCCGCCCTGCCCCCGCAGATCATCGGGACTCTGGAGGAGGTCCACATGCCCCAGAACGGCATCAACCATCCCGGCATCACGGCCCTGGCCCAGGCCTTCGCCATCAACCCCCTGCTGCGGGTCATCAACCTGAACGACAACACCTTCACTGAGAAGGGCGCCGTGGCCATGGCCAAGGTAAGGCGGTTCGGCGGGGCCAGGCTGGGCCCTGGTGGCGGGGTCTGGCCGCTGCCTTTGCCAGGAACACCCATCAGCAGGCGGCCGTTCTGCCCCCCACCCTGCCCACCGGGCGTGTGCCCCAGGGTCCGGCCGTGCACACGTGCCCAGGATGGGGCGCGTGTCAGGAGCCAGCCTGCGCCCGTCTCGGGCAGCTCTGCGTGTCCGCACCGCCTTCCTCCCGAGCCGCTCGGGCAACCCCGGCGTTTTCTTCGTCGGTTCTGCGTGTTGAGCCCCTGCCTAGCGCCCGGGGCCCCGTGCCGGTCACAGGCCTCACAGAGTCGAGTCACAGACGCCGAGGCCTGCAGAAAGCCTCTGTGCCACGAGGGACGGGGACAGCTGCTCGGGGACAGCGCGGGGCGTGGACGCGGTGCCTGGCCGGGTGGCAGGGCTTCTGTGTGTGAGGGCGCCGCGGCTCCAGCGGCACCCCGGGGCCCCCCGAGCCCCCAGAGGCTGGTCCTGCCCTGCGTGGGTCAGTGGGGGCGTGTGCGGGAGTTCGGACCACCCTGGACGTCCCAGTCGGACCCGAGGCAGGCTCCCTGGGAGAGGCCCCATTTTGGCCAGGGACTTTCCTGGACAGAGTCGGCGGGAGGAAGGCTTCGGGCGCAGGGCCCGCACCAGGCAGGGAGGCCCGGGAGCGGGAGGGAGCCTTGCTCCGTGGTCCCGTGTGAGATGCCCGGGGTTCCGAGTGCACGCACGGGCTGGGGGAGACGGAGGGGGCAGACCTTGTGGCCGTGCCGAGCCCTGGAGACGAGCCCTGGAGAGGAGCCCTGGAAGCAGCAGGGGCCACGGAGGGCTTTAACCGGAGGGGCACGCGGCCAGGCCTGTGCTCCGGAAGAGGGTTCTGGCTGTGGGGGGACGGGGCAGGAGGTTTGCCAGAGGCCAGGGGGCCAGCGGGGGGTTGCCGAGAAGAGCCGAGGAGGCCGGGCTGGGCACGCAGGGGGTGGGGTGTGGCCTCGGCTCCCAGGGGTGGGGGGAGGCGACAGGCCTCACCCGGCCTCCTCTTCCCCGCTCCAGACGCTGAAGACCTTGCGGCAGGTGGAGGCCATCAACTTTGGGGACTGCCTGGTGCGCTCCAGGGGCGCCGTTGCCATCGCAGACGCCGTCCGCGGGGGCCTGCCCAAGCTGAAGGTGCCCTTGGGTGGGGGTGTCCCCGGCGTTGGTGGGGGTAGCGGAGAGTCTGGTCCTCAGAGGCCCGTGGGCCTGGGCTGTTCTGCACTCCCCCCTCGGGCCGTGGTCCCGTCTCCTCTCTCCGAGCCGCGGTGTCTCCGTTTTCAGGATGGGAGTGGGGGGAGAAGCCGGTCACCACAGTGAACGCAGGTGAACGTGCTGAGTGCCCGGCTCGTTGCTGGGGGAAGGACGTTACTGTTGTTGGTGTCGTTGTGTCCATCTGCAGGACAGAGCCTGCCTGACCCTCCTTGGGGGCACGGGGGCTGCAGACTAGGAGCTGGTCTACGGGCCCACGTCCCTGCTTGCCACATCCCCCTCCTCTTATTTTTAGGAGCTGAACTTGTCCTTCTGTGAGATCAAGAGAGATGCCGCACTGGCTGTGGCTGAGGCCGTGGCGGACAAGGCCGAGCTGGAGAAGCTGGACCTCAACGGTGAGGAGGGGCAGCCCCAGCCCCGGCCGGTTGGGTGGGCCTGGTGCCCTGTCCTGACCCCACCCTTGTTCCCTTCCCTGTGAGCAGGCAACACCCTGGGAGAGGAGGGCTGTGAGCAGCTCCAGGAGGTGCTGGACAGCTTCAACATGGCCAAGGTGCTGGCGTCCCTCAGGTAGGGGAGCTGTGGGTGGTTGGTGACTCATTTACAGATCGCTGGGTGAGTCCCCACTGTGTGCCCAGTGCTGTGCCAGGCACGAGGGATATGAGATGAAGGCGGTGAGGGTTGCTGGCTCGTGAAGCTTCGTTCTAGCGGGTCGAGGGGCCAAGAACAACCCAGTTCCTGTGCGTGCAGCAGCGGCACGAAGGCGGGCTTGGGGGGGTGGTCCCCTGGAGAGCGGGTGAGTCTGGCGGGGGCTGGGGCTGAGCCGGTGCTGACAGGCAAGGCGGGGGTGCCCAGAGTTGTTCTCGACGTCGGTGGTCTTGGGACTGACTCTAGACAGGAAGGGACGGGTGCGGGAGCAGGGTTCCTGGGTTTGCAGGGCCTGGGGTGGGCTGCAGCTCGGGACCGGGGGCCCGAGGACGGGCTCAGGAGGCTCGGGGGCCGGGGAAACAATGGAACAGCGTGCCTCAGGGGCCCCCTCCCCCTCCCCATATGCGGCTTCCTGTGGCCAGCAAGAGCACAGGGGCCCAGTCCTGGACGTCTCTGCCTGGGCGGTATTCCTGCCAGACCCCAGGCCCCCATGGCAGTGCCCCCTTATCTGTGAGCCCCCGTGGGTCCGGGGGCTTCTCTATGATGGGGACAAGGTCTGGCTCTCGGCATGGGCTTTCCTAGGTGATGAGAGTGAGTGACGGGCTCCCTCATGACCCACTCGCCCCCACCCGGGAACAGCTGCCTGGCCAGGCTCACAGAACCAGGCCTCTGAGCCCACGCGGGCCTCTGGGCGGGGAGGGTCTGCTTTAGCAAGCTCCCCTCCACAGTGATGATGAGGGTGAGGACGAGGACGAGGAGGATGAGGAGGAGGAGGGAGAAGAAGAGGAGGAAGAGGAGGAGGAAGAGGAAGAAGAAGAGGAAGAAGAAGATGAGGAAGAAGAAGAGCCACAGCAGGGAGGGCAAGGACAGGAGCCAGCCACACCATCGAGGAATATTCTGGACCCTAATAGTGGGGTGAGCTCCTTGTCGTTTGCACGGGTCAGACCCGGTCCCCAGCCACGTGTCCCCGACATCTTCACGGGACCGTCTGATAGGGGTGGAGTTCAAACACAGCGGCCACAAACCGTTCTCGTCGTATTTGTGTCAGACTCAGTACAGACGCGTTTCCTTAGAAATAACAACGTGTGTAGCACTGCTGCGCTGGGTATCAGACGTACATGAGTACTTCTAAAAGAACGGAGTAAGAGAATAAGCATAAATAGAAATTTTTCCCCCACCCATCAGTGGACTGTCTCGCTGACCTCCCTGAAGGGACAGCCGCCCGTCCCACAGACGGGCTGGGACCACGGCCCGGCCTGGGCACCTGCTGCCCCTTCCCCGGCCGGGAGGCTGGCGGGGTCGGGCCTGCCACGCCCTAACTCCTGGGTGCCTGCACCCGCCTGGGTGCCCAGACGAAGCTTCTGGACAACTGTGGGTTGGACGAACCCCGCCCCCCGACTCTCGTTGAATGTGGCTTTCCCAGTTTTATGGACGCATTTTAACAAATCGCCAGTGTTTCTCCATGTTCCATTTTCCCCGGGCACCCCTGGGGCTCACTGGCAGTGGTTGCTTGGGCTGGATCCCAGTTCCCGGTGGGTCCACGCTAGTCCCCTGTGCCTTTTGAGCCATTTCTGGGGCATTGAGTAGGCCCATGTGGTCTCGCCAGGCTGTTGGGGTCCTAGGGAGGCGGCTCGTGCGCTGAGAGCCCACTGGGCCGGCGCCTGGGGAGCCGCACCTGAGTGGGAGGGGGAACTCGAGGCTCCGAGCAGTGACCGGCGAGTGTCCTGGGTGAGGAGTCCGGGCTCGGGCCTCTGCAGTGCCACTGTGTCGCCTGTCCCTCAGGAACCAGCGCCCGCACTGTCCTCCCCGCCGCCCGCAGACATCGCCACCTTCTTGGCGTTCCCCTCCCCGGAGAAGCTGCTGCGCCTGGGGCCCAAGAGCTCTGTGCTGATAGCCCAGCAGGTAGGAGCCCTGGGCCGCGCACCCGCACCCGCACCCGCACACGCTGTGCCCGCTGGGTGGCCGGGGAGGAGGGAGGAGCGGAGCACACGGGACTGGGAGGGGAGGCTGTCGGTGGGGTGCAGGTGCTGCCGCACGTGCCTTTTTAGTCGCAGACAGGTAGACGAGTGGGGCGCTGCTGGCGCACTTCCCTTACAGCTGGGGTCCCCACCCTCCAGGCCGCGGACCAGCACGGGTCCGGGCCTGGTAGGAACCAGGCCACACGGCGGGAGATGAGCTTGAATGCAGTTTGCCTGAGTCATCCCTAAACCATCCCCCCCACCCCCGACCCCGGTCCCTGGGAAGATTGTCTTCCGTGGAAGACAATCCGTGGAACCTGCCCCTGGTGCCAAAAAGCTTGGGGACCTCTGGCTCACAGGGTGCGCACGCCCAGCACACCTCAGAGGACTGGGATTTCTTACACACACACCCCTAGGCTTCCTTCTGCATGTCCTGTAGGACCAGCTGCTTCTAGAACAATCTGCTGCCCAGGACTCCTGTGGCCGGCTCAGGTGTGTCGCAGGGAGGCGGCCCCTGCTCCAGCCTCACTTGGCTATTGGATAGGCAGTTCGGTCATTCCTGCCTTCCTTCACTCGTTCGTTTGTGCTGAGATGGTCATCACACACGTGCTGTCCACCGGCACACTTGCGGGTCCTTGCTCATGCTTCTGTTTAACGCCCCTGGCAACCGGAAGTGGGGACCCCGTTGCTCTTGCTGTCCAGAGAGAACTCCGAGGCCCCAGGAGGCGGTAACCAGAAACGATGGGTCCCGCCCTCCGCGGGCTCCGCGTTTCCCTCCGTGTGGCCTGTCTTCCTTTCTCGCGGCAAACGGGGTTGCAGGATAGAGCCCTTCCCGTGGCTTTTCGCTCACTGGTTCTTCGTTTTCCTGGGTCAGCAGAGCTCTTCCCGCGCCCCGTGTCGTCTCGGGGCGCCCATGTTGCGCCCACTTACTTCTCTGTGATCGGGACCGTGGAGGAAAGCTCCGTGGCATTCTGGGTACCCGGGCTGGATTACGAGCAGGGGTCACTGAGTCACAGAGCGAACTGCTGCTCAGTCACTCGCTCCCTGCGTGCTGCACGCCTGCGTGGGCCAGGGCCGGGCCGGGCCCCGAGGGGGCGGCGGGGGGCGAGGCAGGACCTGTCCTTGCCCCACCGAGGCCCGCGTCGTGCCAGGGCTGCTTCCGTGCAGTAGCAGAGCCCAACGCGGCTCCCCTGCGGGCTGGGGCCCCAGCCCCTGCTGACCAGCCGTTGCCTCCTGTGTCCTCAGACCGACACGTCTGACCCGGAGAAGGTGGTCTCCGCCTTCCTGAAGGTGTCCTCTGTGTTCAAGGACGAGGCCCAAGTGAGGGCGGCAGTGCAGGACGCAGTAGGTAACGTGGGCCGTGGGTCTGGGATGGCTCCTGTCTCTTGGCGGCCCCGGGGCTCGGGGACGCTCCCAGTGGCTGGCACGGCGCAGGGGAGGGCAGAAGCTGGAGCCGAGTGCGGGGCCTGCTCCAGGGTGGGTGCCGAGGCAGGAGGGTCCGTGGGAAGTGAGGCTGGGCAGGCAGGGGAGGGCCAGGTGCGAGCCTCCGGCTGTGCTCCCTGAGGTCCCAGCCCCGCGGGCGTCGGTGGGAACCAGTTACCCGAACTGTCTCCCAGAACAGCCCAGCATCGGAGCGAGTGCCCCAGCGGCCTCTGCAGGCCCCGCCGCTCTGCCCCCACTCTGCCCGGCCATGCTCCCGCACCTGCACCTGCACGGGCGGCCGAAACCTGCCCCGGGGAGGCCCGCGTCACTTGATCTCCGCCCCAGCTGTGCCAGGCCCCCGGGCCCATTTTACTTAGGGGGCCAGGGCAGGGAAAGGCCGAGGTGTCGCAACTGGTGGATTGCGCCCTTCCCCTGGTGCTAGCTGTGCCCTCGGCCTGGTCCCCGTGTCCACGTCCCACTGCCTGTGTTCACGTCCTGAACGGCGCAGGGGCAGCCCCAGACCCAGCGTGGGCGGGTGCGGGGCGCTGCAGGCCCTTCGGCCCGTGGCCAGCCCTCTGGGGCAGTAAGCACCCTGCCCCTGCCGCCTCTGCCCCGCAGATGCCTTGATGAAGAAGGCCTTCGGCTCATCGTCCTTCAACTCCAACGCCTTCCTGACCAGGCTCCTCATCCACATGGGTCTGCTCAAGGTGCGGCCGGGAGGAGTGGCAGCCGGGGGGGGGGCGGGGGGGGGAGCGCACCGCCTGCCCCTCCCATGTGAGTCCTGCTGGGACCTGTCACCCACACCGTCCTGGGCCTGGCTCTGCTAAAACAGCCTTGGTCTTCATGATGGGACTCAGCTTGACCTTGGCCATGGGGCTCTCTGAGCAGGGGCTGTGGTCGGTGGAGACCTACAGTCAGTCCCCCAGGGGACCTTGAAGCTCACCTTCCAATCAGTGTGTTTCCCTTGCAGAGTGAAGACAAGGTCAAGGCCATCGCCAACCTGTACGGCCCCCTGATGACGCTGAACCACATGGTGCAGCAGGACTACTTCCCCAAGGCCCTCGCGCCCCTGCTGCTGGCGTTCGTGACCAAGTGAGTGTGCCCGCGCCCGCGCCCGGCTGAGGCTCCCCTGGCCTGTCACTCGGGCTGGTGAGAGGCCCTCGTGCCTCCCAGGCTCTCGGCACTGTGACTGGTTGTCGCTCCTCCTGTGTGGCCCCCACCTCTGGGCCCAGCTGAGGACACGGGACTCAGACAGAGCCTCTCTCTGAGACAGAGGTCGCGTCCCACCCCACAGTTTCCAGAGGAGGAGGAGGCCCAGGTCAGTTAGGAGTCCTGTCCCCCCCCCCGCCCCGCCACCGTCACAGGCCGGCCAGGGCCCGTGCTCGGCAGCGTCCCCAAGTGCAGTTCTGTGTCCGTTCGCACAGCAACCGGGCCCGGGGGGCGGGGCTGGCCCGGCCCGGCCCTGCTGGTCTTCCACGGCCACAGGCCCTGCCCGGCCTGGCCCTGCCCTGCCCTGCCCTGGGGACTAGAGGTGTGCAGGGCTTGTTGTTGTCCTGGAGGGTCTGGGGCGTGGTGGGCACTGGCCACAGCCAAGAAATGCGGAGCCTCCAGGCCCTGCCTGGGCGCCCAGGGCTGGGTGGGGAGGCCTGTCCCCTGTCCTCACAGGGGCCCAGTGTGGCCCCAGCTGGCCTGGCCTTCCTCAGGCCTCGGTCTCCCCATTTGCCTGACCAAGAGGTTGGCAGAGTTGTCTCCGGGGCTCTGACCAGCTGCACTAGCAGTGAGTCCAGCGCCTTGGGAGAGAGTCAGGGTGGGGGGGGTGACGGGGGCGGAGGAGAAAGGAAGTGCCTCCCCGGCCAGCACTCGCATCTCTGTTGAAGAGTCTCTGTGAAAGTCAGAAAAAGGGACTCTGGAATGCTCCTAGCCTCAAACGTGGCCCCTACCCCCTCTGCCGCCCACTGAGCTCCGGGCCCCAAGGTGCTTGCCCCCCTACTGACCCCTCCCTCCCCGCAGGCCCAACGGCGCCCTGGAGTCCTGCTCCTTCGCCCGCCACAACCTGCTGCAGACGCTGCACAAGGTCTAGACCCAGACGCGGGGCAGCCTCTCCCGACCCTCAGCCTGGGCCAGTGACTTGGGAAGGGACTCGGACGAAGGACTCTGGCCAGAACAGGGAGGGTCTTTGTCACATGTGTCGTGCTGGTCCCAGAGTTTGTGTGTCGGTGTGGTGTGCGTGCCGCTGTGTGCTTCCTGCCGGGGCTTGGGGTCACTGACGTCCCCCTGTGGGGCCGGCCCTGGGTCTCTGGAGGGGAGCTGGCCCCTGGCGGACGGTCTGCAAGCTGCTCTGCCATTACGGTCTCGGCCACCTGAGGGCGCTGTGCTGATCTGCGCCTCAGGCTCCCGGCTGTGGCTCTTCCACCCACTTGGCCTTCCCGGCCCTCCTAGGCTGGACCGAAGCCTGGGGCATTGCTGTCCATGCGCTTGTTCCCCGGCCCCAGCTTCCCGCTGAGGTCGGGCTGCACCCTAGCCTGCCGGGGCCTCTCGGTCAGCCGCTGCCTGTGCTGCTTGCGAACAAGCCCTGGTCCTGCAGCCACCACGGTCCCCACCGTGCACCCCTGCTGCGCCGATCCCTCGGCAGGGGAGGCAGAGACGGCCACAGTGGAGCCGCGGGGTGGCCAGCAGAGGGCGAGACCCTGGTGCCCGTGCCATGCAGGCAGGACAAGAAGCCAGTGGCAGGCACAGGGCAGCCTGGAGCCGGAGGTGCTTAGCGGCGCTGGCTGCGGACCCTGCCCTGGCCGCCGAGATGTCTGTGACTGGCCTGGGGCCGCACCGGAGGGGCACCTGGAGAGGCCCCGACCTGTTCTCCAGCCCGGGGGGCAGCGGCAGGGCCCACTGCCGCCTGAGCTCCCTCCAGGGAGCTCTCAAAGGACCTGGGCGGCGCAGCGTGGGGACAGATGGGCTCACAATGGCCGCCGCCTCCCCAGTTGTCCTGCGACGCCCTGTGCTTTTCCCCTTGTGCTCTGTGTCTGGGCTGTGCCCGAGGCTTCTCGAATAAAGTCGTGTGTGGCAACAGTGGAGACTGAGAAACGTCACCTAAAGGAAAGGGGGCCAGTTTCGGGGCCTCGGTCTGGAAGGCGCAGTCCGTCTCGCCCAGAACCCCTGTGCCAACCTTGTGTCTGCGCTGGGGGTGGGTTTCCACAGCGAGGCCACATCTGTCCTTTGTGTGGGCACGCCGGCTCCCCTCCACCAGGTGGGGGGGCTGGCGGTACCGGGATCACCCCGACCTGGGGGAGGGGGAGGGGGTTCTCCCTCTCCAGGCGGTGGAGGTCCCAGGCGGGGTCCCTTTCACCGGCACGGCCCCATCTCACCGTTCACCCTGTGTTTGGGCCACAGCTTCACGGGTCCCCGCACTGCTCCGTGCACGGACCTGGCAGGGCTGGACCCTGGGCAGGTCGCGCCACAGGCCCTGCTCTGCGCACGGTCTGGGTGCCCTGGGTCTGGCTAGCAAGGTCACTTCGTGAGGGTGGGTGTCCCGGCGAAGGAAGGACCAGCTGGTGAAGGGAAGCCCCTGGCGGGTGTCGGCCCCGGGGCCCGGAACGGAGCACATGCCGTGCGAGTCTGTTCCGCAGCTGCGCCACCTGGCGGGAGGACAGCCCAGCCGAACCTCCTTGCCGCGCACCCCGGAACCTCCGCGGGAGAGAAGGGGTCCCCCCCAGGTTTCCCCAGGGGCAGCATTTCCTTCCTGGCTGTGGACCACCCGAGGGGCTTCTTTCTTGGCCAGGTGGCGGAGGCGGCGTCTTCCTCTGCTCCCCCACAACACAGGGCGACGTGGCAGGAGGCAGGTGGGGGCCCGGCCAGCGCCACCCCCATGCCTTGCCAGGCTCGGTCCCGGGTCCTGGGGCCGAGGCTGCCTCTGAGGAGCTCCCCGTCCCGGGCAGGAGACAGACCGCCGTGGCCCACGGTGGGCAGTGAGGGCAGGGCAGCCTGCAGGGTCAGACGTGCAGCGGGAAGGAGGCCGTGGAGGCGGACGAGGTTGCCGGGCTCCGGCCGCTCGGCCTGGCGGCAGCAGGGTCCCTGGGGAGATCACTCTCCAGGAAACCCCAGCCGACGTTTTGAAGATGAGCTGAGGCTGGCTTCCTGTGACACTGCCCCTCACGCACCAGCACGTTCTCTGGGGACACCAGGAAGCCTGCGTCCCAGGTTTCCGTAGCGGAAGATGACTGCTGGCAGGAACATCGCTGCCAACCTGGGTCCGGGGCGGGTGCCGCGTGGGCGGGCCCAGGCTCCGCGGGGACGGTCCCTCCAGCACACCGGTCCTCGCGGTCCCGGGGGGCGGCGGATGAGCCAGCCCCTGGTTGAGCGCGTGTTGGGGACAGTGTTCCCACTCTGGGCGGTGCTGAACAGCACACTTTGGCTTTGCCTGAGTGTGGAGAGACCGAGGAACTGACTTCTACAGCCCCACACAGTAGACGTTGCTGCACATTCTGAGCAAAAACAGGGTTGCCGGAACTGAGTCTCGAGGTCCACTCGGGCTTCCCACGGGAGATGCTTGATGGAGGAGAAACAGGCTCGAGGCTGACGGTGGCCCGTCCAGGGTGCTCCGGCCCGGCTGTCCTTTTCTCTCGGCCCCAGGCGAGTGGGTTCCGACTGCCCTGGCCCCTCTCACCCTCCAGACCAACCAGGTGCAGGGAAGGGCTGGGAAGCCTCTAACTCGCTTTCTGAGAAAGCTGCAGCCTTTGGGATTCCCCCCCACCCCCGAGACTGGAACGCTCCCCAAAACCACAGACAACCCTGAGCTTGCACAGGCTGCAGGCCCGTGAGCGCCAAGTTTTGGGATCGGCAAGATCACAGACGCGCTGGCCTGGGACCCCTGCGTGCAGAGAGCCTGCTCAGCACCAGGCTCTCCCCACGAAAGGGAAGGCGGCCACCGGCTCGGGGGGCTAAACCACCAGTTCTGTTCTGGAACTCGGACTGGAGGAGCCCAGGAAGCCTGGTCGGGGCGCTCCCGGCAGCACATCCCGCCAGTGAGAACCTGGAAACGACTCACGGACCAGTGCCGGGAAACGGGCCGAATGCAGAGCGGCCCCGCGGAACAGTTCGCCACGGTGACCACGCGGTGACCAGCTAGGGTTACGCGCACACCACGCACAGCACAGGTGGCTGCCCGGCAGGGTTGGGTGAAGAGAATCTCAGCGCCACACCATTAGCAAGTTAGCGTCTACATAGGCGTGTGTGTGCGTGTGTGTGTGTGTGTGTGTGTGTGTGTGTCGGTGCTGTTACCAACACAGGAGGGCTAGACCCAGCATTCCGAACGGGGCAGGCAGGGGCGGGGCAGGGGCGGGGCGGGAGCACCAAGCGTCCAAAGTGACCCAGGTCCATCCCCATGAAGAGCCACATTCTTCAAATAAAACACAGGAGAGCATGTTCTGACACAAGAAGTTAACCGTGAGGACGTTTGCCCGTGTCAAACAAGGTAAAGCGACGATGGGAAGACGTGTCAGGCGGAAGAGACGGTGATGGAGTGGAAAGACCCAGCGCCGCACGGCGACGAGCCGAGGACTGGTGTTGAGCCGACGCATCGGACCGAAAGCTGGGCGAAGCGTGTGCGCAGGCACGCCACACAAGGAGCAGCCTGGCACGCCGGCCCCAACACGCCCTGCACACCCCTCCGGCGGGAGGGGTGTCGCACCGATAAGACCACTTTCCGGAGCAGTCGGGCGGACACTAGCACAGCTGGGAATGCACAGAGCCCGTGACCCCGAATTTCACGTCCCAGGATCTCCCTCAGGGCAACTCGCACACATGCCGAGGAGGCAAGTGCAAGGGCAGTGGGATAAGGGACGCCAGGGAATTAGGGAAGAAGCTAAATGGCCATCGGTAGGAGGGGATTACATTTTGGCACACGCGTGCAGGGACAGGCGGCAGTTCAACCAGCAGTTACCTGCATCCACGTGAATGAATCTTGAGTCTTTTCAGCACTGACTGAAAAGACCAAGTTGCAAAAGAACATGCACTGTTCAGTACACTTACAACTTTATTGCCGTGCATTGCAGTAAAGTTACACCGTCTCGTGAAAGTGGTTGGTTGCCTCTGGGTAGAGAGGGAGGGGAGAGAACAAGACAGGGTGGGAGCCCGGGAGGGGCTTCCCCTGAATCTGCCGTGCCCAAAGAAGCGCAAGCCGGACTCAGACACCTGCACACCCTCGTGCACCCCGGCGCCGCTCAGAGCAGCTGAGAAGTGGACGCAGCCCCCGTGTCCGCCCACAGGCAAACAGGTAAAACGCACTCTGTGCACCCAACAGCGTCTTGTCCGGCCGTGAAAAGGCGCGGAGCTCGGACACGTGCTGCAGCGTGGACACGCCTTGAAACACCACGCTACGCGGAAGAAGCCAGAGAAGAAACAGTGATTCCGCTTACACGAGGTACCCGGAATTCCGAGAGAAGGAAGGCCCATTTACAGAGACAAGGAGTGGGGGCGGTTACCGGGGGCTGGGGGAGGACGGGACGCGGAGTCAGTGCGCAGCGGGCAGAGGGATCTGGGTCTGGGCTGACGAGAAGGTCCCGGAACCGGGTGGCGGCGGCAGAGCACTGGGAGTGTGCTCGGTCCCACAGCGCCGCACCCAGAAAACGGTTAAAGTGGTGAATTTCACGTTACGTATATTTTACCACCACCAAAAAACAACCCCTAAACCTAAGAGACAAAACTATAGATCTTTCAGGAGATAGTGTAGGCGAGTGTCTTCAGGACAGCAGGAGTAAGACAAAGATGAATAAATGAATGCACGTTTAGCCTCCTGGTTCGCCATTCTGGCCGGGTGTTCCGGAGGTGGACACTCTGTAGCGACGAGAGCAGGCTCCTCTTCATGGAAAGGCGTCCATGGACGTAAAGGGAGTAAAGTTAAGGCAAGTCATGGAAAGACAGCAGTTACAGTGTATATATTAGAATAACCCAGAATATTTGGTTCCTAAAAAGTAACAAAGACAACTCAATAGAAAAATGAGCAGAAGCCTAGAATGAGCATTTGACAGAAAAACACGACAAGCTGCTTAATTTCATTCGTCTTCAGAGAAGCGCATCCTAAAAGCACAAGGTAATACCATTGTATCCTCACTGGAATGGCCAAAATGCAAAAGACACCCCCGGCTGGCGTGGCTCAGAGGACTGAGCACCGGCTTGTGAAGTTAAAGGTCGCCGGCTCAATTCCCCGTCGGGGCACGTGCCTGGGTTGCAGGCCAGGTCCCGAGCTGGGGGCGCGTGAGAGGCAACCGAACCGTGTGTCTCTCTCACATCCGTGTTTCTCTCCCTCTCCTCCTCCTCCCTTCCCCTCTCTCTAAAATAAATAAAAATTTAAAAAATACAAAAGAACAAATGACACCAAGCATTGGGGAGGAAGCGAAGCAGCTGGAAAGCAGGGACACCACCAGTGGACGTGTGAACCGGTGCACCCCCCGCCCCCCGCCCCGGGGAACCGGCAGGCTCCCTTGGGGATGAAAATAAGCGAGTTCTAAAGCGAGCGACTCCACCGGTAGGTACGTGTGTGTGTACGCACACCCTCACAAAGACGGGTTGTGATGTGCTCGTGAAAACAGTGTGCACACCTGCTGCACAGCACTTCCTCGTAGCCCTACCCTGGACACAACGCAGACGCCCACCCAGAGCGGGCTGGGTAAGGGCTGTGGTTCGCTGAGGCAGAGGTGGCCGCGGTCTGCCCACGCGGGGCGGGGGGATGGTTCGGTGTCGACCGTGGCTAGAGCGGGCAGCGGGTGATGGTGGACAGCAGACCGACTCCAAGCTGGCCCCGCTGCATTTAAACGTTCCCCGCGGACGGCACCCCCCCCCCACCGCCTGCATCTGGGGCAGGCTGCTCTCCGCCCCGCCCCGGCCCCGCGCCCCGGGGGCGGTGTGTTTACAGAAGGGAAGGCTGCCCCAAAAAGGAAAGGGACAGGTGAAGAAAATAGGAATCCGGTGAGCCTCACAGACACCCTGCTGAGAGAGGAAAGCTGGTCTCGGGGGACGCGGCTCTGGGGCAGGGAGTTTGCCGCGTGACGTGGCGCGTGTGGGAGGCTGCGTGCGGTGTGGCGCTGTTCCCGCTCAGAAAACAAACCGACCCAAACGGAACAGGGGAAGATGCGATTTCATCAGAACCGTTAGAGGTGCATACATGTTTGCTGTGAGCGGATGAACTAGTTCATCGAAGATGCACATGTGCCCAAGTAGGTAAGCATGTGTATACTTTTCGCAATCTTGTAATAGCAAACACTTGGAGGTAGCGGAGACTAGTTAAGTAAAATTGCCCCAGCTGGCGTGGCTCAGTGGCTTGAGCACCAGCCTGTGAGCAGAAAAGTCATGGGTTCAATTCCCAGTCAGGGCTCATGCCTGGGTTACAGGCTGGGTCCCCAGTTGAGGGCACAGGAGGGGCAACCAATCGACCGGTGTTTCTCTCCCTTTCTCCCTCCCTTTCGCTCTCTCTAAAAATAAATGAAATCTTAAAAATTAAGTAAAATTGGCCCTGGCTGGCGTAGCTCAGTGGATTGAGGGTGGGGTGCGAACCAAAGCATCACAGGTTCGATTCCCAGTCAGGGCACATGCCTGGGTTGCAGGCCACCGCCCCCAGCAACCGCACATTGATGTTTCTCTCTCTACCTCCCTTCCCTCTCTAAAAATAAATAAAATCTTTAAAAAAATTTTTTAAAAATTTAGTAAAATTGATATGTTTATGCCACGGAATACTATATAGCCGTCAAAACGAATCAGCGTGACTAAGAAGCGAGCGCCCAACAAATCTGACACTGAGGAAAAGACCCGAAGTGGGGTGAGCTGTACGTCCAGTGCTGGACGACGTGTGTAAAGGTGTAACCACAAAAGGAAAGGACAGAGTTAATCATTCTTGAGCACCTACTATGTGCCAGGTGCCCACCTTCATTCCCACGGCAACACTCTAAACTAGCTGCTAATTCCGTGTTTTCCTCACAGAGCAGGACACGGAGGCTCTGTGAGGCCCAGCCTGCCCAGGGGCCCCCACCCAGGGGCCCCCAGACCTCCAGTCCCCCCCCGTCCGGCCGCCCTGGGGCCCCGCTGCCCAGGCCGGGGCTCCAGGCCTGGGCCCGGATCCCGGGCTGGCGCAGGGCAGGAGGCCCTGTAACTCCAGCCGTTGCCGCAGCCCCTGCCCGCCCCTCCTGCACCTCAGCCTCTGGCTGAGCCGCCCACAATGCCTCCCATTCAGCCCTGTCCCCACCGCCAGGCCCGCGGGCAGGGAGGGGGGCTCCTGCCAGCATCCAGACGGGGACGGACGGACACAGCTTTCCCCTCGCGCCGCACCTCCAGGCCGGACTGACCCCAGGAGGCGGCATGGCGGGGTGAGTCTTCGGGGCCCGGGGTGGGGGCCGGGGGACTGGGGAGGCGGAGGGGCTGGAGTTGAGCCCCCGCCCCTGTCCGGGCTCTGCCTGGGCAGAGCTTCGCCAGGGTCTCCTCGAAGGGGGTCCTGAGGAGAGCGGTGTGGGGGGACGCGGCTGCTTCTGTGGCTGGTCCCTCGGGGCCTGTCTGAGAACTCGGCAGCCCTCTGAGCCCCGGAGCTTGTCCCTGGGACCCGCCCCCTCCTCCCAGCTGCCCCCCCCCGCCCCACCCCCAGCCTCAGCCTCCCCACAGACTGGGGAACACCACCAGCCCCAAGGCCAGGGCTGGACCCCGGACCCCAGGGAGACTGAAAAACAGATGATGACAGAGCACTGAGCAGAAACGGGGGAGCCTTGGGGTGGGGGCCCAGGCCAGGGGTCAGAAGGGGCCGTTCCGAGGCCCTGACAGCTGAGAACGGAAGGAAGAGCCGGGTGCCCTGGGTGCCAAGCGCAGACCTTGAGGAGTCTGAGCCGGGACCCCCCAGCACAGGCGGGGGGTGGGGGGGTGCTGCAGGGCTTCCCTCGGGGGTGCCGGAGCCCGGCCGTGTTTTGGAAAGTTCCCTTTGGTGGCTGGTGGTGAGCCGGGCCCCGGGGAGGCCAGGAGACCCTGAGGCGCAGTGGCTGAAGCTTTGGCTTCAGAAGGTGTAACGGGGGAGGGGGGAGAGTGGACAGAGGGGTGGACAGACCCTGCCAGAGGCCCAGCCACAAACCTAGACCCTCAGGTCTCCACCCAGCCCTGGCTGGCCAGCGGGTGGCGCTAAGACGAGGGGAGGACAGCAGGGGCACAGACGGGGAGGAGAGGCTGAGCCGCGCCGGCTCCCCCGTCAGGGCGGCTCTGACCAGCCACTGAGGTCCCTCGAGGCTCTTGGGCCCCACAGCAGCACCTCGGGCCCGAGTCTGACCCCCAACCCCAGCCAGGCCCGAGTCCTCCCCTCTGGCTGCCAGGCCGCCTTCTCGAGGCGGATGCGGCTCCTGGAAGCTGGCCACCGAGCTCACGCCGCGAGGCCCAGGCCTGCCCCTGGACCCCGGAGCCTCAGCGCAGCCGGGCGCCGACGGGGCCACCGGGCAGAGAGCTGCAGGGATGTGCCAGGTCGCCTCTCTAAGCCTCCGTTTCCCCCAGCGTAGAACAGGGCCGGCAGTGCCTGCCGCATGTCGGGCCTGGGCTCAGTGAGTGGACAATGTGGGACCCTGCTCCTGTGAACAAGGGACTCTCCTTGTGTCTGCCAGGCCCCAAGGGGTCTCCTTGGTCCTGCTGCTTTTCCTGCTGCTGCCACTGGGCCCGACTTGGCACGCGGCCGCCCAGCGCTGCCCACAGACCTGCGTCTGCGACAACTCCAGGCGGCACGTGGTCTGCCGGCACCAGAACCTCACCGAGGTGCCCCACGCTGTTCCCGAGGTCAGCAGGGCGAGGCGGGGGGTTGGGGGGTGGCACAGCGGGAGGAGCCTGGCCTGGCATGGGAGGGTCTGCCACTGCCTGGCTGGGAGGAGACCTCGGAAAGTAACTTTTCCTCTCGGAGCCTCAGTCTTCACGTCTGTAAAATGGGGACGACAACCGACAGCAGGTAGATAAGCTACCTGAAATCCTGTGTGATTGGCACCAGTGGGTGACCTGTAGGTAAATACCGAATTAGTTGCAGACGCCGGGGCAGAGAACCGGGGGTATACTGGGGGAAGATACAGTCTCTGCCCTACAGGGTCAAGAGCTAGAGGGTGGAAGAGGAAGTAAACGGGCAGTGACCATTCAGTGCGAAAAGCGCGAGAGCTGGGGGTGCCCAGGTGGCTGGGGAGGAAGGCTTCCCGGAGGAGGTGTCAGGGCGCAGGATGAAGAGAAGGAGGGAAAGGTGACGTGGAGGAGTCCGAGGTGAGGGAAAGCGGCCGGCAGCGCTGGCCGTAGGACTCACTGCGCTCAGTCTCCCCTCCTCTCCGCCCGCTCAGCTGACCCAGCGGCTGGACCTGCAGGGCAACGTGCTCAAGGAGGTCGCCCCCGCTGCCTTTCGGGACCTGCCTCACTTGACCCACCTGGACCTGCGGCACTGCCAGGTGGAGCGGGTAGCTGAGGGCGCCTTCCGTGGCCTGGGCCGCCTGCTCTTCCTCAACCTGGCCTCCAACCGCCTGAGCGCGCTGCCCCAGGAGGCGCTGGACGGGCTGGGCTCGCTGCGGCGGCTGGACCTGCAGGGGAACACGCTGGAGGAGCTGCGGCCTGGGGCGTTTGGGGCCCTGGGGGCACTGGCCACACTCAACCTGGCCTACAATGCCCTCGTCTACCTGCCCCCCATGGCCTTCCAGGGGCTGGTGCGCACCCGCTGGCTGCAGCTGTCCCACAACGCGCTCAGCGTGCTGGCCCCCGAGGCCCTGGCCGGCCTGCCCGCGCTGCGCCGTCTCAGCCTGCACCACAACGAGCTGCAGGCCCTGCCCGGGCAGGCCCTGTCCCAGGCCCGCAGCCTGGCCCGCCTGGAGCTGGGCCACAACCCATTCACCTACGCGGGGGAGGAGGACGGGCTGGCGCTGCCCGGCCTGCGGCAGCTGATGCTGGACCACGGGGCTCTGCAGGCCCTGGACCCCAGGGCTTTTGCTCACTGCCCACGCCTGCACACCCTGGACCTCCGCGGAAACCAGCTGGACGCCCTGCCGCCGCTGCAGGGCCCGGGGCAGCTGCGCCGGCTGCGGCTGCAGGGGAACCCGCTGCGGTGCGGGTGCCAGGCCCGGCCGCTGCTGGAGTGGCTGGCGCGAGCGCGCGTGCGCTCGGACGGCGCCTGCAGGGGGCCCCCCCGCCTGCGAGGAGAAGCCCTGGACGCCCTGCGGCCCTCAGATCTGCGCTGCCCAGCAGACCCGGCGGAGGAGGAGGAGGAGGAGGGAGAGCGGGCGGCCCCGAGGCCCCGCGCCCCTCCCGGCGCTCCCGAGGAGGAGGAGGGCGGGGCGGCCCGGCCCTGCCCGCCCGCCTGCGCGTGCGCCCCCGAGTCCCGGCACGGCAGCTGCGAGAGCCGAGGCCTGCGGGCCGTGCCCCGCGGCTTCCCCAGCGACACCCAGCTCCTGGACCTGAGGCAGAACCACTTCCCCCTGGTGCCGCGAGCGGCCTTCCCGGGCCTGGGCCAGCTGGTGTCACTGCACCTGCAGCACTGCCACATCGCGGGGCTGGAGGAGGGCGCCCTGGCAGGGCTGGGCGGCCTGCTCTACCTCTACCTCTCCGACAACCAGCTCTCGGGCCTCAGCGCCGCCGCCCTGGAAGGGGCCCCCCGCCTGGGCTACCTGTACCTGGAGCGCAACCGCTTCCTGCAGGTGCCCGGTGCCGCCCTGCGCGCCCTGCCTCGCCTCTTCTCCCTGCACCTGCAGGGTAACGCGGTGGGCCACCTGGCACCTGGGGACCTGGCAGGCATGCAGGCCTTGCGCTGGCTCTACCTGAGTGGGAACCGCGTCACCCAGGTGTCCCCAGGGGCGCTGGGCCCAGCTCCGGAGCTGGAGAAGCTGCACCTGGACAGGAACCAGCTGCAAGAGGTGCCCACTGGGGCCTTGGAGGGGCTGCCTGCCCTCCTGGAGCTGCAGCTCTCGGGGAACCCGCTCAGGGCCCTGCGGGACGGGGCCTTCCGGCCTGTGGGCCGGTCACTGCAGCAGCTGTTCCTGAACAGCAGTGGCCTGGAGCAGGTGGGCACGGGAGGGGTGCGGGGGAGGCGGCGCGGCCCTGTGCAGTGAGCACTCACTCGGCAAACACTGCCAACCCCCCAGTGCAGTGCCGGAAGGCCCGGGGCTGGGCATGCGGACCCTGAGATGAGCCACTCGTGCCTGCCCTCAGGGAACCCAGGTGTGAGTGACGGCAGGTGGGATCCAGCGCCACTCAGACAGTCCTGCCAGGGAGACACGCAGGAGGGAGGACGTGTGTCCACAGAGTCACCCACTGCTGCGCACCTTCAGGGCAGGGCTGGACCCCCAAGAGGCTTTGCCATTACTGGGGAGGGTTCAGGCAAAACAAGAAGAACCATGAACCAGGGGCCCCGGCATCTTGCAAAGGGGAAGTGCTTTGGCATCAGACAAACCTATGTTGCCACCGCCACACGGCCCTTCCTGCCCGGCCACCTTGGGGGTCCCCACCCCCCTTCTGCTAGGGGAACATGAGCCTCTCTGTGTAGTCTGACAAGAACTCACTCCTGGGCCTGGCGCCTCCTTGCAGATTTCTCCTGGGGCCTTCTCGGGCCTGGGGCCCCGGCTGCGGAGCCTACACCTGCAGAAGAACCAGCTGCAGACCCTGCCGGCCCTGCCCGGCCTCAGCCAGCTGGAGCTGGTCGACCTCAGTGGCAACCCCTTCCGCTGTGACTGCGAGCTGCTCCCACTCCACAGGTGAGTGCCTCCACCTGGACCCCAGCCGGGAGCCTGCCAGCTGCCCTCGATCAGGCCCCCACCATCTCCCCAGGGCGCCGCGTCTGCCTGGCTGAGCAGCTCTGGGGGCAGGGGCTGGCGCCAGCTACCTTTCCCGGGGCAGCCAGTGTGCACTGGCTTGGGGTGAACTCTGAGCCTCAAGTTCCCCATCCACAGAATGGGGATGAGATCCGCTCAGCCCGGTGGGGCTGGACCTAGTCAGTGCTCGTGGGCACTTCACATAATCCCGTGGGAAAGCAAGGGGGGCCCTGGAGTCCCCCAGACCCGGCTGAAACCCAGCGCTGCCTGCCTCTCTGCCTCGGGCCACATGACCTCCCTGTGCCAGGTCCTCCTCTGTAGAGGGGACGACAGTAATCGTGTCCATCTCGTGGCAGTGGCTTGTGAAGAATTACATTGAGCCCTGGCTGGTGTGGCTCAGGGGACTGAGTGCCGGCCTGTGAACCAGAGGGTGGCAGGTTTGATCCCCAGTCAGGGCACATGCTTGTGTTATGGGCCAGGACCCCAGCAGGGGACATGCCAGCGGCAACCACACACTGATGTTTCTCTCCCTCTCTTCCTCCCTTCCCCTCTCTAAAATAAATAAATATTTTAAAGAATTAAAAAGAAAAAGACTGAACTAGTTACACACATAGGTTGGTTGACCGGTGCCTGGCCCACCAGCCCTTTGTAGCTGTCATCACTATGGCCACCCCCTCGTCACAGGGGGGATGTGCGGCTGGGAGTGACTGGCTCGGGGTCCCAACAGGTGAGCGGCTGAACCGGGGTTCTGTCCTCGTCACACACGAGGCCCCGCCGCCCCGGACTCTCCAGGACCCCGCGCTCTCCCCAGGACAGCTCAGCACCGTGGGTTCTCTCCCCTCAGGTGGCTCACGGGGCTGAACCTGCGCGTGGGGGCCACCTGTGCCGCCCCTCCCAGCGCCCGGGGCCAGCAGGTGAAGGCTGCAGCCGCTGTCTTTGACGCCTGTCCGGGCTCGGCTGCCGGGAAGGCCAAGCAGACGCCCAGTGCCAGGAGAACCCGCGTGGAGGGCAGGCGGTGGGGAGCAGACACGGTTGGTCCCGGGGCGGGGGCGGGGAGGCCTGGGTGGGCGGGCCGGGTTCCAGAGCCCCCGGGGGCGGCGGGTTCTCGATCAGGGCAACGACCGGCCGTATTGCTCCTGCTCGGTGACACCCCGTCCCCGCCCCTCCCCTCCCCCACCCTGGACTGGGCCCAGGAGGTCTGCAGCAACTCACTAGGCCACAGTGCGCTGGACCCGACACCCATGAAACCAATCCCGCTGTCACTGTAACTGCTGGGTCGCTGCGGACCGGACCATTTCCCACCCTGGCCTCAAGGGCCGGCTGGTCCCTGGGGCGGGCGGGGCGGCAGTGCCGATGCCTCTGCTGCTCTCCGGCCACAGGCTGGACCCCACTGCGCGTGAGCCCACCATCCCCTGGACGTTACGTTCACCATCCCGGCAAACACACGCACACTCAGAAGCTTAGTTGCAGCGAAGTCTCGCGGCACATGGGAGAAGAGAGAGTGGGATGTGGGTGCCTCTCCGCGTGTGTTGGGGGTACCTGGGGGGGCCGCAGAGGAGCAGCCAGTCCTTACAGAGGAAATGAGAGCGGGGCCAGGGGGCATTGGGAAGGTGGGCAGAGGACCTGCACCTTGAAAGTTTGGGGCGCCTGAGGACCATCAGGTGGTGTTAGTTCCCTGAGGCGGCCAGAGCAGAGCGCCGCAAGCTGGGCATGTTGACTGTCTCACGGTTCTGGAGGTTAGGCGTCTGAGATCGAGGCAGGGCCACGCTCCCTCCGATGGCTCTAGATCAGGGTCCTTCCTGCCCTTCCAGCTTCTGGGGTCCCCGAACACCCCTTGCCCGTGGCAGCACAACTCTGGTCTCAGTCCCCATCTTTAGACGGTATTTTCTGGTGTCTTTTATTTTTAGAGAGAGGAAAGAGAGGGAGAGAAATATCCACGTGCAATTGCCTCTTGCATGCTCCCCGCTGGGGACTTGGCCCCAAACTCAGGTATGTGCCCCGACTGGGAATCGAACTGGTGACCCTTTAGCCTGCAGGCCGGTGCTCCATCTACTGAGCCACCCCAGCCAGGGCTCTCCTTGCGTCTTTACATCCTTCTCTACATTACCTCCTTGGGTGCCCAAATTCCCCTCTAATAAGAAGCCATATTGGGTTAGGGTCCACCCTAATGACCTCATCTGAACTCGTTACCTCTGTGAAGACTTTTTCTAAATATGGTCTTGCTCTGAGGTCCAGCCTCTTTGGAGGGACGGAATTCAACCCCCGTGTTCCTTGTTGGGGTAGGCTGGGAGTGAGGACGGAACCCCTAAAAAGACCCCAAGCTGGAAGTGAGCAGCTCCGCCTTAGAAGCAAGGCCTCGGTGACAACAGCAGGGCGGGTGTCGCCTGACACCGTGCGGCCCCTACTTGCTGCCAGGCCTCGTGCTGACCAACAGCACCGGCTGCCCCCGTGTGAGCCCAGGGAGCCCAGGGGCCGACCTGGTGGGTCCACCCCCAGCTCAGGGCTTTCGTCAAAGGAAGCCCCCCACTCTGGCTGGTGTGGCTCAGTGGATTGAGCGTGGGCCTGTGAAATAAAAGGTCGCCTGTTCGATTCCCAGTCAGGGCACAAGCCTGGGTTGTGGGCCAGGTCCCCAGTAGGGGGTGTGCGAGAGGCAACCACACATGGCTGTTTCTCTTTCTCCCTCCCTTCCTCTAAAAACAAAATCCTGAAAAATCTTTGTGAGCCATCCAGCCACCCTCTCTCGACAAGATATTCCACCCAAAGCCGGGCCTGGGGTTCTAGGTTTTCGTCTTTGTTTCGCTGAGAGGGGCCGGTCTCTCCCTGGAGCACAAAGGAGTCGGAGGACGAGGGCCTGGGCCCTGGAGGGATGTCCGGGAGTGGGTGCTGCTCTCGCCGAGGCCCAGGCCGGACCAGGCACGGCTCTCCTTTGACGCCCGGCCTCTAGCCTGGCGCGCGGCCTGTGGGAGACGCTTACAGCCGTCGCGTGAACAACCGAGTGCAGAGAACCAGCAGAGCGGCCAGGGCTTCCTCCCGCTGCAGTCATTTCAGTCAGTCTAAGCAACCAAGTCGCTGGACCCCAGTGAGCCCTCTTACCCTCGCGGGCCTACTGCGCAGGCGGTAAAAGCTGTGTATAGGAACCGGGGCCGGGCAGAAACAGCCGTCCCCTTGCCCCCTGGCCCCTCGAGCAGAGCCTAGGGTGGCCTGGGTGACAGGAAAGGGGTGTGTGTGTGTTGTCCCTCAAGCACGTGGATTTGGTCTGACCGCCACCCAGGAGCCACTGTGCGGCAAGCAGCAGGAGGCGGGGCGTGTCCCTCGGCTCGCTTCCCAGCCAGCAGCCCCACCGCCGGGAGACCACCGGGGGGTCGAGGTGGCGCAGGCTCACTCTGTGCCGGGAGTGCAAACGGCCCAGAGGGCCACACTTGCACCTGCGACACACCACACTGACATCTGTGCCCCAGGAACACCGGTCGTTCCCACCTCCGTATCACACACACGTCCCGCCGGGCCCTGCAGGGGGTACGAGGGACAGGCCAGGCACAGGCTCGGCCTCGGGGGAGCTCAGGGTCGCGGGGAGGGAGTGGCAGAAGTGAAGATATGTCTTCATTTCCGAAGACATGAAGATAATGAAGGGAGTGGCTCTGGAGACCAGCGCTCAGGAGAGACAGGAGACACTATTCTCGCCACGGTGGCCTCACCTCGTCCCTGTCCCCGAGGTGGTGCACAAAGCGCACTGCTGAGAGGACCAGACGCCCGACGGAGTGCGTTTATTGTCTCGCGTCTGGAGGCCAGCCCAGGGCTCCGGTGGCCGCCGAACCCATGCCCCGGCTCTGCCCGGGGAACCGCGGGGCCGTGGCGCCTGCAGCCGACACGCCCTCACCCGAGGGGGGACTGAAGGCCAAAAGGCCGCGCCGACCGTTTCCCCAGGATTCTCCGGTCAGAACTGGACCCTCACTGGCAAGGGGATGGCTGTTACTGGGCACGTCACCCTCGGCAAAGGCAGGGCTCCGCGAGCAGGCCGAGGGGCCGGAGCGCAGGCAGAGGCCACCCCCCTCCCTGGGGGCTGATGCGCTGACCGGCAGAGAGAGAGAGAGAGAGAGAGGGGTGGACAGCGGTCCCTGCTTCTGGTCATCATCGTGCTCCAAATCTAGTCACTTCCTGGAGCCCTCGGGCTGTACCGACAGGCCGCTCTCCGCACTGTGCGGGCCTGCCTCGTGCCTTCAGCAGGAGACCAGGCCGAGCCCTCCGAACTGACCGGAAACCGGCTCCCCGGGCCGCGCTCCCCATCCCCGGGCAGCACCGAGCAGCCCAGACCCGGAGCAAACAGCGTGCGGCGCGGCAAGCACAGGCCACGCCCCCGACGGACCGGCTCACGGGGCCGCTGGACTCCGGCCAAGCGCGGCTGCGCCCCGAGACCCCGTCTGCCCACCCGGCGGCGCGGTCCTAGCCCCAAACTTGGGAGGAGAGAAAAGGGCCGAGGCCACAGCTTCGGCCTCAGGCTCCAGAAAGAGCAGGTCACGGGGACAGGACTGACGGGAAAGGAGAGTTTCCAGGGGGGCTGGCCAGGGAGAGAAGGCCGTCGTGTGGGCAAACACTGGGTGGCCTGGAACAGAGCTCCAGAGCGCAGCGGAGGAAAACCTGCGGGCAGGGGTGAAGGGCTCGGACGGGAGCGGAGGGGGAGCCGGGAAGCGCGCCCTGTCACCCCTCTTCTCGGGTGGGGGCTCCCCCACACCCAGGCCTCGCGCCCCTTCCACACGCCGCCCGCCCTCCCCAGGGCGCACGGGCTGGTGTGGCGGCCCCTCTCTAGGCCCCGGGCAAGCCCCCCGGCCCGGCGGGCAGACCCCGCCCGTCCCACCGGCCCTTGCAGAAGTGGGAGTCAGGGCTCCCGCCCACAGAGGAACAGGTCCAGGCCGCCTCACAAGTCACTGACACCGACCTCCTGGTCACTGCCTCCCCGCGGCCCGCCAGAGCCCAACCCGGGAGGCAGGGCAGGCCACTTGGGTGCAGTAGACAGAAGCCGACCCCGCACTCCGCTCGCCGTCCGTCAGTGACTGTCCCTCTCAAGGGCTGCTGCCGACTTTTATTGGCGCGACCTGCCGGGCACCCGCGCGCGCGCACTCTCTTCACTGCCCCGTCTTGCAGTGTGACCGGACGACAGCCCCACCCCGGCACCGGAGGGCTGCGGTGGGCGTGGGGGGAGCTACCGGGAGGGAGGGCTTGGGAGCCTAGCGGGGGAGGGGCCGCTTGCGGACCAGTGCGGGGGCTCCAGGCGGTCCCAGGCACCGGGCCTTGCCAGAGAGGGCGGAGGTCACAGGGCGGGTCAAAGGAGACCCTGGCTGGCCCTTCAGTGCCGGGGACCCTCAGCACCAGGCCGAATCTACGCAAAAAGGCTCAGCCTCCAGGTTACAGTGGGCTGGCGGTGACGGAGGAGCCCTGGGCTGGTGTCCTGGGTGGCCAGGCCGGCAGCAGGGACAGCTCAGGCGTCTGCCTCCCGCTTGATGTTCTCAAGGGACACAGGCAGCTCGGGCCCCGGGGCCTGGTCGGGCGAGGCTGCGTCCACGTGCTCCTCCTTCACGCGCACAGTGACGACTGCAGAGGGGGCGTGGGAGGCGGGAGAGAGAGGAGAGACCGCATGGAACTCTGGGAGGGGCAGGGGCTCAGGGTCCGGGGGAGGGGTTCCGCTTCCCGCGGACGGGGGCGTCCGGAGGGGGCGGGGAGGAGGCCGGGGCCGCCCGGCTCCGTTCGGGTCTGGGGCTGGGTGTGTGGCCGCCCTGCGGGCCCGGGGGTCTGCGGACGGCTGCTTGGCGCCCGGAGGGCTCCCTGCGACACTGACTGCGCCTTCCTGTGCCCAGGCGGGGAAGGAGGAGGGCCGCCTCTGAGCCCGGGAGCAGGCCGGGGCTCTTACTCTCATCAGCACCGGACGAGACCTTGTCTGCGGCCTTCGGATCCTCCTCGGGCAGGGCCTGCCTCGACCCCTGCCTCAGGGGCCGGGTCTTGGTCGGCGGTATTCTTTTCCCTTTGAATAAAAACGGAATCGGACCCCGCGTTAGGGTTTTATGCTCGGGGGAGGCTTGGAGGCTGGGTCTCACGCAGCGGGTGGGACAAAGGGCGGAGGCGGAGGCGGCGCCAAGTCCGGGGAGCTGGCCTAAGCCCCTGACATCAGCCCTCAGGGCCCCGAGGCCCGGGATCAGAGCGCTCCACACCCTCCCCCACGATCTTTTTTTTTTTTAAGATTTTAATTCACTTATTTTTAGAGGGAAAGGGAGAGAAACATCAATGTGTGGTTGCCTCTTGCATGCCCCCTACTGGGGACCCGGCCCACAACGTAGGCATGTGTCCTGACTGGGAATCGAACCAGCAACCCTTTGGTTTGCAGGCCGGTGTCCAATCCACTGAGCCACACCTGTCAGGGCCCCTCCCATGACCTTAACCCTGCTCTGGGACCCACCCACTGGCTCTCTGTCCCATTTCGGTCACCCTCTTCTCTGTGTGGTGCCAGGTCATGGACACCACCTCACCGCCACTGGCCCGGACAGCTCTGCCTCCACCACCCCCTGCCCCCTTCAATCCGATGCCCCCTGAGCTAAGCCTGTGCTGGACCCGTTGGGAGTGGGGCACCACCTAGGGAGATGACCTTGAAGCTCTGTGGCCACCCTGGCTCCCACCCCTTAGGCTGGCGGCCTCGGGGAGCGGCTCCTGTTCCCGCCAGCACCTCGGACATTCAAGCCGGTCTCCACCCGGGGGCCGCAGGGCCGGGTCCCTTCCCTTCCTTCTCAGACACAACCTCGTCTTTCCCGCGGCATCCCAACCACCGCCAGACACCGAGACTCCCTGCAGGGCCACAGGGCAAGGGAGGAGATGGGGTGCCTGCCGTCGGTACCTAAGTGACAGCTCCCAGGGACACAGGCCCGGCTGACGCCAGCCCCCACGCCAGCCCCCACGCCAGCCCAGGCTGCTCCAGAGCACCACTTACTTTTCTTTCCAAACTGCTTCTTTTTCTTTTTCGTGGCCTCTTTGGCCTTCAGAGGTGCAGTGGGCTCTATTGTTGAAAAACAAGGACAAGAGGTGAGGAGGGCCTGAGAGGACAGGGGGCCGAGGCACATCCCGAGACCCCTGCCCACCCGCACCAGCCCCCCATACGCACAGGATACCCCGAGAAGGAGAGTCAAAGCTGGGCAACGAGAGTGGGGGAGGGCCGGGGGAGGGACTGGAGAACAGCGGTCCCTTCCCACCCTCGTCACCAGGGCTGCTCCGAGGGGCCTGGGGGGGTTTACCTGGGCGCATAAGGGCACGAGCAAATGACAGAGTGGGCAAGATCAAGGAAGGAGCTCTGCAGGCCAGAGGGAGAGGGAGACAGAGCAGTCAGGAGCAAGGGTGGTCCGGGAGACTTCTCGGCCTCATGCCCAAGGACGAGGCGGGCACGGGGCCGGGGAGGGTCGGCACGGAGGAAAGGGAAAGTCAAGAGCCCCTGGGGGCTGCAGGAACCCAGACCTGTGGCCACGGGCGGCTGGAGCTGGTAGCCAGTGAGCTCGCACCAGCCCACGGGGTAGATGTCCGGGGACTCACAGTCCACCCACTGGTCGTACTCGCTGTCCCAGCCATCAAAGTGGATGCTGAGCAGCCGGTGCACCACCCGTTTCACCGTGGCCACGCAGATGAGCCGGGGCTCCATCAGGTCCACGGCCTCCAGCTTCATGCCCACCTTGAAGCCGTGGTTGGGGCAGTCCTGGGGGGCAGGAAGGAGGCAGTGACCAAGCCGGCCCGCTCCCCGGCCCAGTGGGGCAGAAATTGGGGGGGAGAGGTTTGCCTGGGGGGGTGGTCCCTCGGCCCCACTGTACTCTGTGCCCAAGCGCCAGTCCCTGCGGGAAAGGGAGCGACTGAACTCTTGGGCACAGCGCCCGTGTCGGGGCCGGGACCCCTCCCCGGACGGGGCTGCTGGCAGCAGTGGAGACTCCCTGATGGGCAGGCGGGGCCGGTTCTGAGGCCGGTTCTGAGGCCGCCCTGGGCCCCGCCCCGCCCCCGCCCGCTCCCGGTCTCCTCACCATGTTAAAGAGTCTGGACGGAGCCGCTTTGGACTTGGTCTTCTCCAGGTAGGCGTCCCAGCTGAAAGTGTGCGTCTCGAACCCTGCAGGAGCAGAAGATGCAGATGCGGAGGGGGGAGGGGAAGCGGGAGGAGTCCAGGGAGGGGCCAGCCACCCAAGGGGCGCCTGCGCCTTGGCCGGGCCACTCAGTACCTTTTGGGGGTGTGAGCTCGATGTCATTCTTTTGGCAGAAGGTGGCTGGGAAGATGGCGTGGGAGGAGGCGTGGTAGCAGAACCAGTCGGAGCCGTCCGTGGAGGGCCCCCCATCCACAGAGAGCATCAGGTAGCCATCCAGGAGGACCTGGGGGTGGTCGAATGGGGGGGCAGACACAGAACACGCTATCACGAGCTGCACCCCCACACCAGGGAAAGGTGGCTGCGGTGGGGACTCGAGACTGAGGATCCGGCCGGAGCCAGGCGTCAGCTCGCCCCAGCGGCTGCCCCAGAGCGCTCTGGTGGTCTGTACCCCGTGCCTGTGAGGTCACTGACCTCCCTCCCCAGAGGGCGGTCCGCGCCCACAGGGACCATACGTCCGTCTTTTTGCCCCTGTGCTCTCGGTGGCGAGCATGTGGACCCGGCCCGGAGATCGGCCGAACGGACAAATCAGCATGTCCCCCAGGAGGGCGAGGTCGTTTGCTCCTCGGGCTGCAGCCATCATGGAGGAGGTTTTAGCAAAGCAGCCCTGCTGTGGCACTCGGCCAGGCCAGCACCCAAAGGAGACGGCATGTGGTGGTGGGGAGGTCCTCGGGGAGGTGGCAGGGCATGGCCTGCACCTGGCCAGCTGGCGCACAAGCAGGATCGGACCGGAAGGTGACCGGTCGACACCGGTCCAACACCCCTCGGAGCCTGCTGAAGGCAGGTGGCGCGCAGGAGCAGCACGGTCTCCTGCCCACAAACACCAGGCCCCCAGGGGCACACGGCCCGGCACCCGCGCCCTCCCCTGGGAAAGCCGCACCGGAGGCCGCAGGGCCAGTCCCCGGCTCACCTTGCAGATGGTTGCCACGCAGATGTTGCCCAGGTTCAGGGGGTCGATGGCCTCCAGCTTCATCCCCTCCTCGAACCAACCGCCTTCTGTGTAGACGGCTCGGACCTTAAAGGAACAGGGCAGGTGGGGAATCTGGGCCCGCCCAAGTGCAGGGCCGGCGGGGCAGGCCTCGCCCGCCACAGGCCTGGAAGGAATCGGGGCGGGGGGCAGGGTCCCCAGGCCTGGAACGGACCGCGGTCGAGGGGCAGGTGCCCCAGGGCTGTGCCTCACCTTCTTGAACAGGTACGGGACGGCATCACAGTAGATCTTCCGGAAGGTGGGATGGTGGGCCATGTCGCTGCGCCTCTCTTTTGGGAAGACGGCAGAGGGAGCGAGGGAGAGAAGGGAGTTGAAGGCTGCCAACGGGGCCATCGCTACACCTCCCGCAGAAACGTGGGTGCTGCCCGGCGCGTGCTCTGACCTGTCCCTGCCCCCCTCCCCGCCCACCCAGGCGAGGGGACCGAACCCAGCAGGCACTCTGACCCAAGGCAGCGCTCAGACCCACGGCCCCGGCTCTTCCCACGGTAAAGGAGGAGAGGGGCCTGCCACGCGGAGTGACCTGGGTCTCTCTGGGCCTCAGTCCTGCCACTGGCAGGGCGGACAGGACCACGGCTCGCACAGAGCGCTGTCGTGGGCACGGGGGTGCCGGCACCAGGCCCTGGGCTCTGCTAACCTGACAGCTTGATGCCGTGGCCGACGCGCCGCGACCACCCCACGGGGTGGACCAGGGGGCTCCACATGTGGCACCAGAAGTCGTCGTCGCTGTCGCCGTCCTCGTAGAGGAGCCGCAGGCGGCCCCCAATCACCGTGTCCACCACGGCCATGCGGGTCCGTGACACCTGGGACTTGTCCACCACCTCCAGCCGCATGCCCTGCCGAAAGGGGTACTTCATGCTCTCCACCATCTGCAACACCAGAACACAGGCCTGCTGTGGGCACGCGGGCCGGCCCTCCACCCTCCTGCTCCGTCTCTTACACGCGGGCGGGGGAAGGGGGAAAGCGGGGTGCAGCCACCCCGACCACTAAGGCGGGAAGTGAGCCCTCCCCAGCCCCTAGGACGACAGCGAGGGAAGGCAGGCCGCCGACAACGTGCACGCCAGAACGCCAGGGAGCCACGCTGACGGGCGTCACTGACCCTTCCTCAGAGGAAGGAGACGGGCCCCGGGGAGGCCGGCCAGCTTGCCCAGAGCCACCCTCAGGAGTGTGGGGCTGGGCCTCGAGCCGGGCCTCCAGCCTCCAGCCTCGCGCTCGTCACGGGATGTGCACTCTGATCCGGCAGGTGCCCCGCACGGCCCCCTCCTTCCGGCCCCTGCTGACCGCACACACGAGCCTCCGTCCAGAGAGCGGGGTCCCGTGGGCTTCCACTCGCCCCATTCCAGCCCTGGCCTCACTGGGCTGCGGCTCTGAATGGCTGTCCTAGCCCCTAGGTAGCAGCGCCTGCCCTCACATGTAGCAGGGGGACGGGGACCCCAAGAGGCCCACGAGCTGCTCTAGAGAGCCCCGATGGCGGGCACGCGTGAGCGGGCAGGGGCTTCTTTGTGTGCTGTGACTCTGGTGAGGACCGGGCACGGCGCGCTGCAGGGCGGGCCCAGCCCCGGGGCCCTGCCGGTTCCGGGAGAACCAGCCTCAGCCTGGCCCGGGCGGAACAAGCTGTGGGTTTGACATCCCCCCCGCCCAGAAAGGGGAGCGTCTCAGAGGTCACAACACAGCCACCAGGAACAGCTGACACAGTCCTCACAACAGACACTCCGCCCTCAGCTCAGGGCTGGCACCACCGCCCCAACGCCAACACCAACACCGACGGGCCAGCCTGCCCACTCAGGAGAGTGAGAGACGCAGGGGCGGCCGGGGTGGGGCTGCCTCCCGGCCCGGGCTCTTCCAGACACAGCCCCTTGCTCTGCACCCGCCCAGTGCAGCCCATGACCCAACACCACCTCACCACCCACGTCCGTGGCCGTTTACGGTCACCCTGGAACGTGAGCTCTCCAGTGACAACAGCTGGTTTAGGTCTGATTTCCGTCTACGGCCTCAGTCCAGAGCACAGAGAACCGGACATACGGTTAGTGGTCAGTTCATGGTCTTTCTCCGCAACGAACAAACGCAGGTGACCCGGGCTGATGGGTCATTAATTCGAAACATTTTACTCAGCACCAACCACAGCGCCGGCCTCAAAGGGCACGTCTGAAGTCTCCTCCACAAACCCCGCCCCTCTCTCCTCCCCTGCCTCCGTCTTCACAGGCGGCCGACACACAGTAAAGGCGAGCCCCCCGGCTGGTCCCTGCGGAACCCTGCTCTGCCACCCAGGGGCACACTCTCTCTAACTCAGGCAGAAAGAGGCCGCCCTGACACCCACAGCGGCCGTGCCACCACAGCCGTCCGCCTCATCCTGAGACGAGGGCCAGCCGAGAAAGAGTGAGCCGACCCTCCTCGGCAGCAAATCCGTCAGCTGTGCAAGGCACTGTGGGAAACGCAGGTGAAAACAAGTGCACGGTTTTGTTGGGAATATGAAAAATAATAACGTATAAAGAAATAAACAGCAAAGGAGTAGCACCTACTGAGTTCAAATCAGGGAAAGATCAGTTCTACTCAGGGAAAAAAAATCCCGAGGATGCTTTTTTGAGGTGCGTGAAACGACCCCTTGCTGAAGGCCAGCTCTCTGCCAGCTAAGGCGGTGGCGGCCACCTTGACCCCTGGTGTCCGGTGCCTTGGCAAGATGGCCCTACCTCCCACCCCGTCCTTGTTTTCCAGTGCTGGCTTCCATACCACCCATGCCCTAACCATCAAGGTCGAATTCAAATGCCCCTTTCTCCACGAAGCCTTCCTTGATACCTGCTCTTCCTGAGGTCACAAGGCCAGTTCAATTTCGTACCTGGCAGCACCTGCCCCGCACCCCCCACACACTGCTGGGACACCCAGGCTCCTGCGGGAGCGGGCCCACGGCAGGTCTGGCACACAGAGGGCGAGAGGCTCGGTCTTCACTGTGCACCCCTGAGAGTCCTTTGAATTTTTACCACGTGGATGACTTTGTAGGTTAAAGAACTAAATATGTTTTTAAAAATATTTAATTAATTCACTTTTAGAGAGGGAAAGGGAGGGAGAGAGGGAGAGAAACATCAATGTGTGGTTGCCTCTCATGCACCCCCATCCAGGGACCTGGCCTGCAACCCAGGCATGTGCCCTGACTGGGAATCGAACCAGCGACCCTTTGGTTCACAGGCCGGCACTCAATCCACTGAGCCACACCAGCCAGGGCAGAAGTAAGTTTTAAAAGTTACAACTGGAAGTCATATGCGTGATTCTGAAACACATCCCCGGTGCAGAACCAAGGCTGGTTTATAAATGACTCGTTTCCTCTGCCGGACGGGAGAGTCCTGGACGGCAGGGTCCGTGTTCCCACAGTGCCCTGCACACAAATCCTTAACAGTCAAGTCTACGGGATGAGCCTCCTGAACAGAGCTGAAAGCAAGGGAGGGCTCTGGAAGAACAGCCGGCACACGCCGCAGTGTGGCCGGTGCGGCTGGCTCGGACCCCGGGTGGGGCGGAGGCCGGCGTCCGGCTGGGCAGGCAGCAGGAACTGCCGTCCTTCCTTGGGAAACACAGAGTGGCTACGGACAATGAAACAAGGGATCGGAGGGTGAGCAATCCAACGAGTAGCGGGAAGCACATAAAATGGGAGGAGGGAGCCCTGGCTGGGTTGCTCAGTTGGTTAGAGTGGCATCCCAACACACCAAGGTTGCGAGTTCAATCCCTGGCCAGGGCATACAAGAGTTAACCAATAAAGACATAAATAAGTGGAACAACGAAAACTGATGTTTCTCTCTCTCTCTCTCTCAAAACTTTTTCTTAATGGGAGGAAGGAGATCACTTGGGACACCCACAGGGCTCACTGCCAAACCTTGATATGGAAATCCACGGGAAGCGTCCTGGAGCCCACCAGCCGTGTCATGAGGTAGCCCTTCCAGTCGGTGAACTTGGCATGGATGGCTGCAAGACAGAAGATTGCTGGTTACGTGCTGACAACACTCCCACCGACAGAGGGCGCCAAAGCCGCTTATTTCCGCCTTTTCTGGCCAGCAGCCACCTCGTCCCACAGAACTGGGTTCCAAGTCCTGGACCTGCCACAGAGCCCCTGGGACAGAGGAGGCAGGTGGGCTCTGTTCGGGCCCCGCCTAAGACAGACGACGGCCCTTCTCCCAAGGGCCCGGCACAAACCAGCACAGGGAGCCCCCTCATCAACTCACTGCGAGGGGGCACCAGGATCTTGCTGTTGACGGCGCACCAGCCGATGGGGTGGACGTCCACGGTCCCCAGGTTGCACCAGAAGTCGTGGCTGGCGTCATTTTCAAAGCCCTCGTACCGCAGCAGCACCCGGTACCCTGGAGGGGGGGAAGCACCGGTGAGGGGAGGCGGGCCGGGGAAAGATGTGCATATCTCCACAGGCCTCCCCCCCAGCCTAACGCGGACCCCCCGCTGCCTGCTCCCGAGCTCCCTCCAGGCACCGTGGTCTCCGCCGTCCACAAGAGTCACGGCCACGACAAGCCCACGCCACTGACTCGGAGAGCAGTGTGGCATAGTGCGGAGAATCAACTTTCTGTAGCCTGATTATCCCTGGAATAGACTTAAAAAATGGGGGTTTCCACACTCACCACGCTCTGTGGTCCCCTCCAAGGTAGGCAAGAGTCGCATGGAGCCAGAAACTCCAGCAGGTGTTTTTTTTTTTGTCCCAAAGCCAATTGCTGCCTACAGCACTGCCTGCCCATCTGGAGACGCCAGAGGAACACCCACCTGCGGCCTGGACGACAGAGGCGATCCAGTACACCCGGCTGGGGAGCACGGCGTCGCTGTTGAGCACCTCCACCTTCATCCCCTTCATCACATCCTCCCACTGGTCATAGAGAGGGACCTGGGTGGGGGCGAGAGCCCAGGGGCAAGGGTGAGCTGCCCGGACTGGCAGGGAAGAGCGCCAGCCCATGGCTTCCGGGGTCCCCGTGGCCTGCGCCTTCTCCCTTCGCTCGCTGTGCACGGAGAGCCCGGCCCGGGACCAGGGTGAAGGGAAGAGCACAGTCAGGGGAGGGACACAGGCGGGCAGGGGCGAAGGCCAGAGGCCCAGGGTCGGACAGCCCTGACCGCTGCATCGTCTGCAGCCCATCGCACCTGTGCCAGCCCGTGGCACACTGTTAAGACAGGTGCAGGCGCTCACCACGTGCCGAATACTCCCTCCTCCCATCGCCGCTCGAACCCGGGCAGTAAGGACACAGCCCCTGGTCTCAGCCGTCGCCACGCCGGCTCTCACAGAGCTGGCCGCCCACACGTCACTCCTGGCACGTTCTGCCCCCACCTCCCTACCCGGTCCCCTCCTCCTGTTAAAAGTGCCCCGACAGCAACGGGCCACTTTCTGGGTGCTTTCCCGGTAACTCATCTTCACTTTGCTGCCAACGGCACCTTGACTCTCCTTTGTGAAAATTCACCTTTTCTTCGGTTTCAGCCCTAGATTAAGCCAACTGGGGTATCCTGTCCCATCTCCCTGGCCACAGAGATTGGGGTCATCACAGAACCTAGAGGTGGTCAATACCACCCAGGCACGAGGGCGGGCTTTCACGGAGCACAGGACTCAGACGTGTTAAATTGAATGCAAGGGGGATGGTATCCACCCTGCAGTGAAAACGCCGACGCTGGGAGGGCTCAGAACTCAGGGCCCCCAATGGGAAGGACATGCACCTTCTCCAGGAATTCAGGGGGGAGAAGAGGCCGCACTGGGGCCCGCTTTTCACCGCTCAGGGCGCCCTGCTGAGGTCAGGGGCAGCTCAGGGAGGAGGTTTCCTCTGGAGCAGCGAGGACTCCGGGAATAAAAGACGCCTCGTCCTGGGTTTCCTGGCGGTTTTGGAATTGCCTTGGAAGACAAAACCAGACTGCTGCTCTAGGCCTCTCCCCTGGCCTGCAGACCTCCCCAGGCTGCAGGCGCTGTGGGTTTGGTGCTGCCACGCCCAGCCCAGCCCCGCCCAGCCCTCAGGGCCTTGCCCTTCAGGTGCTTCTCAATGACAGGGGGTCAGGGAGCCCTTCCCGGAAGTGGGCTCCCGGGGGTGTCCCCACGGGCCTCCTCGGGACCTAGGGGCCCGGGGTAGTTCAGAAGCACCAAGTGTTCGCTCAAAGGGAAAACATGAAAAACGGGAAGGAAGGAGAAGAGGATTCCAGATTTGGCTCTCAGACAGAAACCCGCACAACGGGCCGTTATGCAAACAACACAGTGGGGACCTCAGAGGGGAAGCGCACTGCCAGAAGCCCTCAGCGGGGCTGGCGGGAGGACTGCCGAAGAGGAGTGAACAGGAAGGTGAACAGGAGTGGCAGAGCCGGGCCTCAACCACCCAGACCCACCACTGCTCTCCCAGTGCCAGGTGCCGATGTCGTGTCCAGCCTGGAACGATGCCCGCGGGGCAGCTGGGCGAGATGGGTGGTGGGCACCTGGTCCCCAGCTCCCCCTCCCCGCCCCGCCCCTCCCCGCCGGGGCACTCACGTGTTTAAAACAGCTGACGGGGGCAGCCTTGTAGCTGTGATCCTTCAGAAACTTGCCCCAGTCGAACCCCAAGACCAGCGCTGCGGAGCAGAAAGGAAGGGGTGAACCTCCCAGCGCAGGCCGGGAGCTGGAGCAGCAGCCACCCTGGGAACCCGGCCCCCAGGGCCCCGGAGGAGCAGGTCCGGTCCCCGCCACAGCAGCATCTTGATCCTCAGCGCGTGGGGAGGCCACCTGTCCCCATCCCTGCTGCACTAGTGGCCGTCGGGACCTCATCCTAAGGCCGCCAGACTCTCGGGAGCAGAGGAAACGTTCAGAAGGAAATGTCTGACCTTTCTTCCCCCAAAGAAAAAAGAAGTTGATACCCCTAACCTTAAATTCCTCAGACCTCCCCTGACCTTCCATTGGCTGTGGCCCATCTAAGTGGGTGGGGGGTCACACACCCAGGCCCCCCCCAATTCCTGCCTGCGGAGCTCGGAGCTCGGAGCCCGGCTCCAGCCAGGAACTCAGGTCACCCACAGCAGAGGTACTCTGTGCCTACATTTAATTTGCTCAGTATTGCTACACACATTCAGAAAGAAAGTTTCCCTTTCTTATCCCACCACCCCTCTCCCATCTAGATCTGGTTCCCCACTGCCCCAGGAAACAGAAACCACAGGGCAAAAATCAGTGCAAAACAGCAGCTGGTTGTTGGCTTTCCGAACTACCAGTGGGGGGCCCACCGTTTCGGGGTGACTGAAGGGATTTTTCTGGAGTAATTTCCACAACACCCACCGGCGAGGACGATGCAGCCTGCAGCAGGCCCGGGGCCGGGCGCGTTCTAGCCGGCCACCTTTCCCCGCTCGCTCCCAGGGAGGGCCACCCCGCCCCAGCACCCCGCCCGACCCCCTCCGGCTCCCAGAGCACAGCCCTCTGCCCACTCACCGTCCTGCCCTGTCGGTGTCCCATCTGCCAGCTGCCCCGTCCCCTGCGAGTGCAGGAAGGCTCCGATTTTGGCAGACCAGGCCGCTTTGTGCAGGACCTTGGCTTTCTTGGTCGGCGGTTTTCCCTGAGGGGAGGGGAGGCTGTGTGTAGCCCGCGGGCTCGGACTCCAGCTCTGGATTTGGGCGGCCTAGGTTCAAACCTAGGCACGGGCCCAGTGACTTAAACTCTTTGGGGCTTCATTTCTCCATTTGTAAATCAAGGTAATACTAGTAACAATGCCTAGCTCAGAGTGGGGTTGCCAGGGTGCTAGCTGCTCTAAGAGCCTGGCACTGAAGGAGGGCTTAGCTGTTGCTCAGTGGGGAGGGCGCCGGCAGCGGAGCTCAGAGCAGAGGAGGACACCTGTTCCATCTTTTAAACCTTCGCTTCCTCCAGGCACCCTTTGCTGGTGGCTGACCCCTCAGTCCCTACTCAGCCCGGCTCGTCCACAGACTAATGGCAGAGAACGGGTTTCAGCGGCGTCTGTGAACTGAACCGGGAGGCAACATCGTGTCTACACATGAATGTTCCGGAGAGGGTCCCTGGCTTCCACCAGGTGCTCCCAGGGGTCCTCTCCCGAAGTTAAAGGACACAGGTCTGGTCTGTACTTTGTGACTTAACGGCTCATCAGAAAGGTCTGGAGAATTTATTAGGGAGACCAGTGAAGCAGAAACGTAGGTTTAAAGCCTACACAGACGGAGGATCGAATCCTGGCTCTCCAATTTTATGTGTACCTTTGAGCAAATCGCTAAAAATCTTTGACCCTTCAAAATAGGAATTTTTAAAAACTAATTTTTTAGCGACCACTGCCTAGACTGGGAGTGCCAAGCCCTTAGCAAGCACCGCAAACTGCAGCTACGAACGAACGACACCATCAGCTCGCCGAGGAAGGCCTCGGCTACAATGCACAAAATGACGGAAACGACAGTAACCGCCCCCTGAGGGGAGCAAGTGTACGAGGCGCCGAGAGTAAGGCCAGGCCCACTGACTTGCAGTGAACAGGAGCAGAGGGCCTCCAGCTTTGCTGCACCTCAGGACCACCCAGGGAGCCCGAGTCCAGGCCACGCCCCGTCCCAGCTAAGTCAGATCTTGGGGACCGGGACCCAAGCATCAGTGTTGTCAAACCCAGCCAGGAGATCGCAACGTGCAGTCAAATCTGAGGACCGGTGTCGTGAACAGCGGCCACAGCCACCGCGAGACCACACGAGGCCGGGCGCCCGAGACCCGCGTTCGGCCTCAGCCCGCCGCCTCCCTCAGAGCCGCCCCGGGCGGTCTTCCTCCTCTCCGGACCGCCGCACGCTCGCCGACTGGCTGGCGTGCAGGCTGCACAGCACGGCAGCACCCTCCCGTTTCTGGAAGCCCCGTGAACGCTGGGCGGGCGGGCGGCTCCTCGGCCGGAGCATCGCCCGTCCACCAAAAAGGGTGCAGGTTCGGTTCCTTGTCCGGGCGCGTGTGGGAGGCCACTGATCAATGTTTCTCTTTCCCCCTTCCTCTCTAAGACCAACAAGCATATCCTCAGGTGAGGACCAAAATAACTAGACTAATGAATTAACTCTATGAATGTCAATCATCAACTAGAGACGGGTGAGACTGTCTGGATGGCCGCCTACGACATGGAGTCAGAGGCGAGGCATCATCAGCTGTCCAAACCCTCTGTGGCAGAACATTTATGAGAGTGTGGGGGAAGGACCAAGGGTGTCAGACTCCCAAGAGGTCCTTGTGTAAGACTTACTGAACACATCAGACTCTGAGGGGTGAGGGCGGGAAATGAAGCTCCAGGAATCTGCAATTTGATGAGCTCCATAGATAGATTCCTCTGCCCTCCAAAGTTTGAGGTCATAATAAATACCAGGAAATTTACAAGCTGGGATGGATGCAAGCAAGACCCTTCCCAAGCCCTCCGGGCCCCTTGCCCTCAGTTAGTTAGTTGTCTCAGCACCCCAGGCCCCGGGAAGGGTCTTCCCAAGTGACTGCCTCTCACCTGTAATCTAGCCAGGATACTGGCTTTCTTGGAGTTGGAGGAGTAGCTCCTGGAACAGGAGACACTGCAGAATCTCTTGGTCTTGGAGAAGAAGGCTTCCCTTGTACCCACGATACCACACATCTCACAGACAGCTGGGAAGAGAACTTGGCACGTGACTCACCTGACACGGTCACCCCACATCAAACAAAATGACGGGCCTGTCAAAACCTGGGCCCTGAGTTAACCAGGCAAGTCCCGAATTCCTGAATCTATTTCGCCTAAGATAAGCTGCCTGGCATCGCTTGGCCATGTGTCAACAGTGAAAACCCATGAAGAAACACATGAGTGTTGGGAGTTTGCAAAGAGGAAAATGAGAAGAAAAAAGTGCCCAAGTCACTTAAGGTCTATGAGTCCATTTTCTTCTCATCCGTAAAGACACTGAACTAGATCAGTGTTTCAATCTTGACTTCCCATTAGAATCACTTGGGGAGCTTTAAAAACTGTCCAAACCAGAGACTCTAATAATGTCCATCCCGGACAGAGAGCTCTTGCACTACATAGTCTCTGCTGGGTCTCTCTATTGGTAAAGTTCTAAGATTCTAAGAGAAAAATTAGAAGAAGATAGAAGGAAGATAAAAGAAAGGTGAGAAAGGAAGAAAAGAGAGGATGAAGAGAAAGGAAATAAGATTCAACTGGCAAAGTCTTAGATAATTTTTCTAAATGCTTTAGGCACCAAGGAACAGCAAGGTCCTTGCAGACCGTCTAGCCTGCCTGTCATAGGCAGGCCGCGTGCTGGAGACCTTGATACTGATCCAGCAGCTGTCTAGGCACCACCTCTCTGAAGCCAGCTGGCTTCCAGGTATTCCCTGGGGATGCTTATCTGCCCACCCCCACCCTGGGGATTCTGTATTTCCAACCCACAAGCTATTTCTTATCACTTCCTGGAAGACAGTCAGAATACTTTAGGTGTCCTATCTTCTCAAGGTCCAGGCTTAAAAATCCACCAGTTATTCACACAAATGTAGAAGTAGCACCATATTCATGGGTAGCATCTAATATGTGCTGTGAATAAAACCAGCTGTACGAAAGAATGAATGAAATCATGATCTGATTTCATGACTGCATTTTCAGACTGCAGCAGAGGAGACGACCCTTGGGCACACTTGGAATGCTTCTGTCTGTCTAAGGGGTCCTTAGGTATCTGATCCCTTACATTTAAGATCCAACAGCCCGTGACACCTGGATGCCCCACATGGCCTGTATCCCCCTCATCCCCCTCAGCCTCTTTGCAACCTCCCCGTCTTCAAGGACACTCTGAAGGCACCTGGCTCGGAACCACTGCCATCCAAGGAGCGAGGAGTCCCAGGGCTGAGCAGGTGCAGCGGGGAGGTGGGCAGCTCCCCTGCTTCCCTCTCCTCGTTTTCTGCTTCACTGGACTCCTCGAGATAGGAGCTGCTTTCGCTGCCCGCACTGCTGTTGTAGCTCCGGAAACTGTCGTAGCCTCCAAAGAGCTCTAAGTCGTCATCTTCCTCCTCTTCCTCCATTGGTTCTGAAGAAGGAATCTCCTAGTGCAAGACAGAATGGCACACATCAGGCAGGAATCACAGTTGGCTCGGTGCATGGGGAAGGCGGCTGCGGGGTCTGCCGTCAGCACCCTTTCTGGTTCTTGGTCTGCACTTTCGGGCAAAGTGGCAGGCGGAATCAAAAAGCCCTTTGCAGACACCAGAACCATTACTCTTGTCCATCCACTTCTCAACCCAAATTCAACAGAATAGCTTAATGAGACAGAGGGAACATGTTTTAGGAATTAACCAAGCTCCTTCTGTGGATTTGTAAGTGATTTGTAACACTTTAATATAACGTTATTCAAATAGAATACAATGATATGAAGATATGCTAAGTGAGGTGCCTCAGGAAGGCTTTCTAGAAAAGATACACCACACATCGGCCCTCCGTATCAATGAGCTCCACATCTGTGGAAAGAAAACATCAGTCTGTGGGAGGATGTGCGTAGGTTATATGCAACTACTACGCTACATCATATAAGGGACTTGAGCAGCTACAGATTTTGGTGCCTGTGGGGGGTCCTAGAACCAATCCTCCAGATACAGAGGGACAGCTGTGCAAGCACATCTCGTTTATTGTGCTTTGCTTTATTGCCCTCCACAGATACTGCAATTTTTACTAAGTGCTATCAGCAACAAGATTACAACTCGCTTTATTGCAGTGGTCTGGAACTGAACTCATTAGAAATTCATTCTTCCCCTTTTGGCATGTGTACACCAAGATAATCTCAACCCCCAAACAAGTTGGAGAAAAGCTAATTTGGGACTCAGACTGCTGTAAGAAGGGTTTGGAAGACAGAAGACACACTGGCCTGCCTGGCGTAGCTCAGTTGATTGAGCGCGGGCTGCGAACCAAAGCATCGCAGGTTCGATTCCCAGCCAGGGCACATGCCTGGGTTGCAGGCAGCAACCGCACATGGATGTTTCTCTCTCTTTCTCTCTCCCCCTCCCCTCTCTAAAAATAAATAAATAAACAAAATTAAAAACGTGACAGAAAAAAGTAACAACAAAAAAAAGACACACTGGTTTTTATAGCACAGTGGTATGCACCAGAGCTGGGGACTTGGCTCTGATCCGAGCTAGACAGCTAGATGGGGGTCCTAGGGCAGGTCATTTCACCTCTCTGGGCCCCAGGCTTCTCATCTATAACATGATACAAACACCTGGCTCACAGAATGGGAGATGTAAATGAGACACTGGGGATGGGTCTACCCAGCACGTGGTGGAAAGGGTGTGAAGAGTCTGGGCTCTAGGCCAGGGCTCAAATACCATCTCTAGTTTTTACTAGCTGTACGATCTGCAGCACATTAATATTCCAGTGCCTCAGTTTCCCCATCTGTAAATAAGGATAATACCACCTACTTTACAGGCTTGGGGGCGGAGCGTAAGGGTTAATACAGGTAAAGCACTGGGAACAGTGACTTGCATACAGTAAGCGTTCAATAAATGTTGGCAATTATCACTGGTTAAAAGCATGGCATTTCAAACAGATTTGTTTGAATCCTGGCTCTGCCACTTAGTATCCGCATACTTTTGTGCAACAGTTAACCTCGCTGCTCTCAGCTTCTCCATCAGCAAGACGGAGATAATGCCCAGCCTTCTTCAGAAGACTGTTATGGAGACGGAGATGTGTAAAGCCTAGATCTGTTTCCAGCAGCGACAACTCTAAGAGTAGCTATTATTCTTATTTTCTACTTTATCATTACTCTCCTTTACCACTGTAGAATTTTTGAGCTATTCCATTTTACGTTTGCAACTACACATGCAAATATGCCAGAAAGGAAACTGAATTCAGATACAAGGCGATCAGAAGCCAAATGATGAAAGCGTAAGTGGGTTCCAGGGCGAGGTGACGTGCGAAGAGCCTGACTGGTCAAGCCCGGGAGCCTGCCGGACTTAGGGCCCGCCCCCTGCACTTCACAGCTGGGGGAAGCGCCTGCGGAGTCTCACCACCTGGCTAAGCCTCAGCTACTCGAACCATGAGAACGAAACAGTCACACCGGACTGCTGAGTACATTGCGAGAGAATGCACGTGAACGCTCTGGACACGGAGTGTTTATGAAACTTTAATCTCCCTCCACGTCACACCAGGATGTGACAGGCCTCACAATCCCCAAAGAACACGACCACGCGACAGGAAGGACGAAAAGATTCCAGAGCTCTCAGACCCCCAACCGAGCTCCCCTTCCCCAGACCAGGGAGGCTGTTCCTCCCACGGCTACTGGCCAGTCGTCGGCCCCAGCACTATCGGCCAAAAAGGCGACACCAAACGCGCCCGGCCCACTTCACCCTCCGTTTACCCATCCCTCCCTCCGCCCGAAAGGCGTCGCTAAAAGGCTAATGGAGGGTCCCGCGAGCTGGGCTCTCGTTGTTCCCTCTCCCAGACACCGTAAATCCTCCCCATCTCACCTCCATTCCCCGGGGTTTCTCCATGAGACCTAACACAATTGCTTCAACAGTCACCAAGTGCAGGAAGCCATGTTGGCCTCGCCGCTTACCCCGAGGACGCTCATTGGCCGCCTTCCAGAGCCACAAGCCAATCACGCTTCAGGGAAGCGGAACAAGCCGGTACCGCCCCCGCCGGCGTCCCTCCTATCCTTGGGGCGGGAAGCCGCCCACCTTGTGGGACTTGTAGTTCCCCGGTGGGTGGGTGTGGAGGGCGCGTTACTATAGCGACGGGAAAACTCCCAGGGCGCTGGTTTAACTGGGGCTCCTACAGGCGGGTTTATTTTTTTATTTTTAGTAGTTCATTTCTATTGTATTTTCCATGACCATTTATGCCCCTCCTGCAGGCGGTTTTCATCTCTCGAAGACAACCTCTTCCCGGTCACCCAGATCCCATTCTGCATTACATCAATTATGGAGTACCTGCAGTCTTCAGGTAGTGTTCCGGGCCTCAGCACCAACCTCGCGTTCTTCCCGATTAGAAATTTAAGGTGCTCTTGGGCCCAGATGCCTAGCAGGGAGATTCCTTTCCAGTTTGGGTAGAAACTGGAGTATTCTCCTGCCCAATGCTATAAATGGCCCAGATGTTTGAATCATGCAACTCTGCCCCTACATCACCGTTTCCCGAATAAAAACCTCAAGTATGAGGCTCTCTGCCTCATTCCCTTTGGATTTCCCACAACCTCCTCATCTGCTCCAGTTTCTAGGTGCTGTCACGGAGCTTTAGGGACATCTCAAATCCAGGGACAGCCACCCCTTAAAGAAGAGGGAACAGTGGCTCTTTGGGTTTAGCCTTTCCAAGATCACATTGGATTGGAATTTAAGAATTAGTCCAAACTCTTTCCCTATGTCATGCTGTACTCTGATTAATTGAAAATCTGAACGTACTGTAGTAATTGAAGGCTGAATATTGGTTAAATATATCAGTAAATTTAAGGTCCACCACATAGATATGAAAGTCTTCCTTGAACTCTGTCCTTCAACCTTTTCTAACTTCAACCCCATATCCTTGCTATTAACAAGTCCTGTTGATGCTTCTGCCTCCAAAATACATCCTTATCCCTCCACGACCACCGTCCTAACACAAGCCATCAATGCACTGCAACAGCCCTCCAACGGGTCTCCCTGTTTGAATTGCCGCCTTCTTTAATCCACACATGTAGTCTTTTTTTAAAAGATTTTATTTATTTTTAGAGGGGGGAGGGAGGGAGAGAAACATCAATGTGCAAGAGAAACATTGATCAAATGGCTCTCACCCCCCCCTCCCGCCGAGACCTGGCTCACCACCCAGGCATGTGCCCTGACTGGGAATCGAACCTGTGACACTTTATTTCTCTATTTTTAGAGAGAGGGGAAGGCAGTTAGAAATAGAGAGAGAGAGACACTGATGTGCAGTTGCCTCTTGCATGTGCCCTAACTGAGGCCCAAGTCCACAACGCAGGCATGTGCCCTGATAAGGAATTGAACCATCAGCCTCGCAGGACGACACCCAACCAACTGTGCCACATGCACAGGGCCACCCGGGGGGTCTTTTAAAATCATAAACTGGATCGTGTTCATTCTCTTGATTAAAACCCCTAGCAGTGTCCCTTTGCAACATGAATACGATCCAAACATGCCACAGGACCCTGCATGACTTGGCCCCGGCTTTCCCTCCACCCTCCTCTCCTGTACCACCTTCTCGCTGTGTCCATCATCAACTCAGCTCTTCTTCCTGTTTTTTCTTCTTAATCCTCACCCAAGGATGTGTTTGTTGATTTTAGAGAGAAAGGAAGACAGAGAGAGAGAGCGCGCCCATGAGAGAAACATCCATGTGAGAGAAATATCCATGGCTTGCCTCCAGTACCTGCCCCTACCGGGAATCAAACCTGGGCCATTTTGGTGCACAGGATGACGCTCCAGCCAACTGGTCCTCGCCCCGCACCCCCCCCCCCGGCTCCTTCCTGTCCCTGACTGCCCGGCTCGAGTTGGCCTCAGGGCCTTAGCACTTGTTCCATGTGCATGGGACATTCTTTCCATGGCTCTTTTCATGGATAGCTCTTCATTTTTCAGATTTCAGCTCAAAATTACCCCCTCAGGGAGCTTATTTAAAGCAGCTGTTTCCACCTCTCGCTGTGTATCCCTTCAACCATTTCACAGTCCTTGGTAGCACTTGTTTCTGCCTGAAATTATCTTGCTCATTTTATTGGTTTATTGCCATTCCCCCACCACTGAAATGTAAGCCCCACGAGGAAGGAACCTAGTCTGTCTTGTTCTCGACTGTGTTTCCAGAGCCAAGAACAGAACTTTTTATATGCAAGGGGCTTTATGACTAAAGGGCTAAATAGTAAGACTTCAAGGATGGCACAGACTACTGTTTTTTTAAAAAATGAAGGTGTAGTTGACATATAATATTAATTTCAGATGTACAACCAAGTGATTCAACATTTATATACCTTACAAAGTTACCACCACTAGATAAGTCTAGTAACAATCTGACACCATATAATTATAGTTATTAGATTGTAATTGTATTCCCTGCACTGCACATCATATCCCTGTGCCTTATTTGCTTTATAACTAAAAGTTTATACCTCTCAGTCCCCTTCACCTCTTTTGCCCTTTTCCCCACCACCCGACCCTCTGGCAAGAATCAGTTTATTCTCTGTATCTCTGAATCTCTGTTTCTGTTTGGTTTGGCTTTTAGATACCACATATACGTGAAATCATACAGCATTTGTCTTTCTCTGTCTGACAACAGGTTACTGGGTTGGGTAGCTTGCTTTCTGACCCCTGTGAACTGTTTTGTTTTATTTTTGTTTTACCACTAACAGGGGTCCAAGCCCACTTCCTCCACCAAGAGACCTAGACCTTCTTCCTTTAGGCCTCTTCTTCCTCCTCAAGTCATAAACTGGATTAAGTTAATCTCACTCAACTCGAAAAATTCCACTATCTCAAAGTGCAGTAAACAATTCAAGACTGACCATCAAACATGATAAACAAATGGAGTCTAGGTTTTAACCTGTAAAACGAGAGTAACAGGCCCACCCCATTGGGCTGTTGTGAAAACGAGAAATAACCAATGTGCAGTGCTCGCCACCTGCTGGGCGCAGTAAATAGTAGTTCTCATCCCATGAGACACTCCCGTGGCAGCAACCAGAAGAGTAAACCAGCCAAGAATATCCTTTATGAGTTGCTTCATGTTTTAATTTTTTATAAAAGAGCAACCATGAATCTCACAGGTACAGCATCTGCTCATGGCACATCATCTCACTCATCGAGCATTTATTTAGTGCCTACTGTGTCCCAGGCACCGTGCTAGACGCTGAGAAGATACAGGAAGTTGTTAACCGTCTCTTGCAGGGTGTCCGTGAAAACAGCTAGTTCCCGCTGGGAAGGAATTTAGCAGGGTGCTGTGCTGGAGAAACGGGGAAGGCAGAGCCCAGTCCTGGATGCCCGGAGAAGGCCTGCTACCTAAGAAGCAAACTTCCTTGGCTTGCAGGAGGTGAAGGAGGCACTTAGGAGCGGAGGGGAAAGGGCATTCCAGGCAGAGATACAGAGTTTCGGGGGAGAGGTGAACCGCTCCAGTGGCAGGAGATTATATGGGAAACCTTTGAAAGATTTTAAACTGTGAGTTGATTAGATTGTTTTTTTTAAAGAGGGGGAGAACTTAATTTTTTTAAAAATATTTTATTTATTTATTTTTAGAGAGGGAAGGGAGGGAAAGAGAGAAAGAGAAACATCCATGTACAGTTGCTGGGGGCCGTGGCCTGCAACCCAGGCACATGCCCTGACTGGGAATCGAACCTGCGATGCTTTGGTTCACAGCCGGCGCTCAGTCCACTGAGCTACGCCAGCCAGGGCTTAGATTATGTCTTAATTGCTCCCTCTCCGCCTGCTTTGTGGAGAGTGGACTCCACTGAAGCCGCCTAGCTGGCTTCTTCTCCCATCCTGTCCCGTAAATTGGATCCAATAACTCCCCAGCATCAGTGATTTACAGGCTGGGTGCTCTTTATCCCATCACTCACTCCTGTTTGGCCGTCCCCCAGTTATTTTAGAAGACCTATGGGGAGGAAGCGGTTAACGAGAAAACAAGAAAAGGGCACAGTTCCTGCTCTCAAGGGGCTTCCACTCCGATACGATCCAAAGGAAAGGAGGCCGACGCCTTCAGGTGCACACCACTACCACGGGCCGGCAGGAGGCTGACTGCTGTGGCTGCCGGCCTGGCCGCTGCGGCCCTGGGCAGTTCGCCTCCGCGCCAAAACGGGCTGATAACGCCTGGCTCCAGACCCTAGCCCTCCCTTGGTAGGGGGTGGGGTGCAGGCGGAGGTCAGAGGGTCTTGCACCACCCACCCCGCCACTCCGCCACCCCCACCCCCCACCCCCACCCCCTACCCCCCCCCCTCCCCCTCCCCCCCTCCCCCCCTCCCCCCTCCCCTCCCTCCCCTCCCCCTCCCCCCCTGCCAACCACCTGCCCCGAGCGCCGGCCCCGATAGTCAAGCGTTCGGCGGTGCGCGCGGGGTCCGAACTCCAACCACCGGCCGTTCTGCCCCGCCCCGCCCCGCCCAGTCACGCCCGCCCCGCCCCCAGCACGTGCGCGCTCCGCGCCCTCCACTCCCCCACCCCGCCACCCCGTGCTCCCCACACTTCCCCGAAGTCTGGAAGGCGGAGCTCCTGCCCGCGCTAGCCGGGTCGCAGCTCGCTGGGACTGGCGACCAGCCGGGTCCAGTCTGGGGGACCAGCGATGGCAGTGTCGCGGGGAGCGCTGTTGCAGCGCTGGGCCAGAGCAAGTAGCACAGTGCCCGGCCCGGAGCGAGCGCCCCTAGTATTCTGGCCTTGATTGCCCCCGCAGCGCGGGCAGACACCAGGAAAGGGAGTGTTCGATAACTGGGCTGACCACGGGTAACTGCCATTGTTAGCACCCAGGCTGGCCTGGCCCGGGCACCACGCCTGCCTTCCTGCCTGGTGGCAGCCAGGGCACACGGGGCACGAGCTGGTGTCCTGGGATGATGAAAGCGGCAGACCTGGGATGCGAACCTGGGACGTGTGGCCCTTGGCCCGCAAGGCCAGGGTGAGGAAAACGCGTAGTACTTGAAGGATG